AATTTGTACTCATTTACACATGCATGTCTACATCCATTAATCTGCTGTTCTTTTCAGGGCTACCAGACAGGCACTGGCCACAGACCAGTGGGTGGAAGAACTTCTGCACTCCAGGGCAATCAAAGGCAATGTGTGGGTCCTAACAGGTGCAGCAAATTCCCTACTTTGTGTTCTCTCTGCCTGACTAAGCCCTCTGTCCTTCAAACACAGCCCCTACAGGAAATCTCCCTTAATGCCCCAGTTAGAAAGATCTGATCCCCACCCCTGATTTCCCTTATGCATTCATTCCACCCCACCCTGCCTGGTGTCACTCTCATGTTCTCCCTGAGAAGGACCTTCAGCTCTGAGGTGGCTATGGTAGTGACTCATTCACTCTCATGCCCCCTCCTGATGCCCAGCACAAGGTAGCGGTTCAGGAACAGAGGCTGCAGTGGAATGAACCAGGCTGGTGTGGGGGCATTGCAGGTTACTGTCTTGTCTCTGTACAAATCAATGCCCAGAGGAGCCAGAGCCCTGTGGCTGCTCACCCTCAACCCACCAGCAGACCCTGGGATCCAGTGGCTGCACTGTACACCCTTCCTAGCACAGAATTTCTCCAAGGCCTCCAGCCCCTGCTGCCCTGATTGCTGACCCACAGCCCAAACCTGAAAACCTCTGGTGGCTGGACAAGCCTGGGGACAGATCTCGGGACTTACTTTGCTTGCATTAAGCAGACAGACTCTTCCCGCTCTGAGAAGGAGGCAGACTTCCAAGGTGCCTCCTTGGAAGGAGATCTGCCCTCAGGCAGCACTTCTCACAGTCTGGTCCACTGTATAGAACCACCCAAGGTATGGGTTAATGCAGATTTCTAGGTCCACTTAGCCTTCCTGAGTCAGAGCTGGTGAGATGGAGCCAAGGAAATCAGATTATCAATAAACACTCTGGCTCATTCCTGTTTAAGGATCTGGGAGCCACATTGTCCAGTGAAAATTCTGGCACCATCGTTTACTAGCCCTTAGGCATATCCTTTAACCTCACTGACCCTCAGTTTCCTGATCTGTAAAATGGGGATAATAATGGTGCATGCCGTGGGCCTGGAGGAAAATAAGATCATGAAAGTGAAGTGCCCAGAACAGAGCCTGGGGACACTGAAAAAATGTGGACTATTAGTGGCACATCCATGTTCTCAAGTCCAAGAATTTCTGAATGAAGGGTAGAGCCCTGAGGTTCTCTTGCAGGGAGGGACTCTGGTGGAGGTCCTCCACCTAGTGGGCAGCAGAAAACCTTGGCAGAGCAGGACCCTTACTCAAGATGCCCTGCCTCCTAGTGGCTGGTATATGGGACAATGCCCAACTCTTCTGCCTCCTCTCACTGAGGTCCAAGGCCCCACTTGCCCTAGCTTTTACCCTGCCTCCCTGCCTTCTGGCAGCCTCCCTCCCTGCCCTGCTGCCCTGGGAGCCTAACAGGCTTGGCATCAGCCCTGGCACTCTCTCCAACTTTGTAATAAAATAGCCAGCTCGGGTCAGCTTTCCTTGGCAAGGAGGCCACCTGGCATAGACAGCAGGAGGGAGGGGGGAAGTGAAGGGAAACAGCTCCTTCAGTGACTACCAATTATGGTCTGGTGTTCCCCAAGGATCACTTGCTCCCCAAATCAGGTGACCCTGGGGGAAAAGACCCTTCTTATTTGTCTTTCTTCCTTTCCTAGCCCTTCATTATTCATTTGCCCGTGCATTTAGTCATTTGGTATTGAAAGGTCTACTATGCATCAGGCACTGGGTCTCACCAGGATTGGCAAACATTTTCTGTAAAAGACCAGGTAGTACATATTTCCAGCTTTTGGGGCCAAACTACTCTGCTACTGTAGTAAGACCGTAGCTGTAGACAGTATACAAACAAGTGGGTGGATGTGGCTATGTCCCAATGAAACTTTATTTGTGAACATCAAAATTTGAATTTCATATAATTTTCATGTGTCGTGAAATATTCTTCGTTTGATTTTTTCCCCCACAAGCGTTAAAAAATGTGAAAACTATTCTTAGCTTGCAGGTCATACAAAGCAGGCCACAGCCAGTGGACCCACAGCTCACTGACCCTTAGCTTAGCCCTCCACACAAAGACCATGGAGCATGCCAGGTTCCGTTGGTGCCAATGTCATCAGCAGAGGCAAGGCCTTTGGACTGCCCAGTGCAGAGGTGGGTGAAGCCTCCAAGCCCACTGCGCTGAGCCACTACAGCCCTCCCAGAGTCCACCCCCTCAATGTCACATATGTTCTCTGTGGTTTAGATATGGGGACTCTTAGGTCTCCTTCAGGACCAGAAGCTTTTTGAGGGCAGCAACATCACTCTTCTAGCATTTGGAGTCAAAAAGCACCTGAATTCAATACTTGTTTGACCACTCCCTGTGTGAATGGTCTTGGGAGAGCAACATAACTTCTCTGTGCTTCAGTTTCCTCATCTTTAATGACTACCTCATGGGTTGGTGAGAGAACAAAGGAGTACAGTGCTCAGACAGGTGCCCGACGTGAGGTCAGTGGTCAGTGCTCATTGACTTTCATTGCAATTCCTTCTCCCCTCCCTACTTCAGCACCCAGCATGGCTCTGGGCACAAAGGTCCTGTGCACTCTCTCCTTGCTAAGTCTTAATTTTCAGAATGAGAGAAAAAGACCTGTGACTACTTGCCCAAGAGCCCCTTAGGGTATGTACCCTGGACTTCTTGGAGGCTTTGCCCTTGAAACTTAGCCTGGAGCATTTCCCTTTGGCTTCTTTGCTCCCAGTGAAAAGATTTCCTTGTCCCTCCCATACTAGCCCACCTGGATGGCCAGGGTTAAGAGTGTGTGAACGTGAGGCGCTCTTGGCTGGTTCTGCTTCAGGGATGAGCTGTGGAGGAGGCAGCTGCTTGGCTGGGGATAAAGGGAGCAAAAGCCTACCTCACTTGCTAGTCCAAGGTCCATGGGGTGGGCAGGCTGCCAGGTCAAGGCCTTGGGCATCTTGGCCCTTAGACTGAACACCTCAACCCTCCAACATTTTGCTCTCCTTTCTAGGCATGTTGCTATCCTGGGGCAGGGGGATGCCCAGTTTGCTCTGTCTCATGGAACATCACACCTTCCTAACCTCCAAGAGCCTCCATTACCTTCTCTGGTTTCATTCTTTCATACATAGCACTTATCACTATGTGAACTTTTAGTTTGCTTGTTAGGTGTTTTTTTTTTTTTTCCAGTCTCCCTTCCATCAGAATTTAAGCTTCTTAAGGGTCAGATTTTGTCCACTTTAATTCTTATGATTACCCTCACAGGACAGATAATATCCCCTATTTAATAGTTAAGCATACTGAGGTCACCCGGTTAGTGAGTAGCAGAATGAGGATTCCGGGCCAGGCCTTTCTGACAGTCAAAAGCTCACATTCTGAGCCTCCACCATAAGACAGAGCTTGATTAATCTGGCAAGATGGGGGTGGGCTGATACATAGGCCTTGAGCCCCACCATCTGTTTCCAGCAGCAGTAAGAGTCAGGAGGTATTTATGGGAGTCCTTGGAACTTTCTCTGCCACTCTCGCAGGAGGAAAGCCAGGTGGGCTTCACTCTTGCCTTGGAGCACATAGGCTGTTTAGACAGAGAAACGTACTGTAGTCTCTCCATTGCAAAGCAGATTGTGTCAAGAGCTATAAAAGGTTACAAAGTGCTTTACAGGTACTGTCTTAGTGAGCTCAGGCAGCTGTAACAGAATACCAGACTGAGTAGCTTAAGCAACAGGAACTTATTTTTTGCAGTTCTACACACTGGAGGTCCAAGATAAAGTACTGGCTAATTCAGTTTCTGGTGAGAGTCCTCTTCCTGTTTGGAAGCCAGCTGCCTTCTTGCTGCCTCACGTGGTGGAGAGAGAGTTCATTTCTCTTTTGTCTCTTCTTGTAAGGGCACTAACCCCATTCATTGATGGCTCCACCCTCATGACATAATTACCTCCCAAAGGCCCCACCTCCAAATACCATCACACTGGAGATTAAGGCTTCAACATATGAATTTGGGGAGGACACATATTTAGTCCACAGCAGGAGCAGGTGGTACTTAGAAAAGTCAGGACACTGGGGCCTGGGTGCTTGGGGGATGCCATCAATGCACTTTGGACAGAGAGGGCAGCAGGAGCAAAGGTCTATGAGACAGGGCCTGTTTGAGGAACAGTAAGGGCTTTTAATGCCTTAAACCTACAGCTTGTTGGGAAAGGGCTGTGATTATATATATGTAAGGTGGTTGAGAAGGTAGGTTAGGGTCAAATCACTGAAGGCCTGAAAGAGATTGGGGAAGATTGGGCTTCTAAAGTCTGCATTGCAGATAATAAGAACACCAACAGAACTGCTGAGTGTATGTGTAAGGTGTTTTACATTTCAGAAAGCACTTCCAGCCCATTCTTCTGCTCTGTCCTCACAACAGGTAGAATGCAGGCAAGAGAGGCAAGTTTAGGATCAGGAGCCCTGACATCTGCTCCACCCAGGGGTAAGACATGTAGACTGGAACAAGGCACTTCACATCTCCAGTCTCAACTTACTCATTTGACAAGGCCCGCTTCTCGGCACTTTAGGAAGGATTCCACAAAACCACACATGTGAAAATACTGTATTTAACTTCTGGTCCTCAGTTATTTCTCTGTTAGGTCGGGTCAAATCCTGTCCAGCCTAATTCAGGAGGCTGTGCCTGCGATTTTGTAGGCAAAGGCCAAAAGGTTAAGAATGTTATTAATGAGGTCAGAGAAGTTAGGGTTTTTTGGGTGGTAGACTGAGAGTCTCATAGAAGAAGCTCTGGCTACTCTACAACGTTTCTTGGTACCGGTCAGGACTTAACTTACTGAGATAGGAGTAGATACAAAGAGCGCAGCACTGAACTAGTAGGAAATGGAGAAGACAAGCGACGCAGGAACACTGACGTACCCCAACCCAATCCACTTAAAGGGCCCCGTACTTCTCGTGCCCCGCCTTCCGTCCCAAAATCACCAATCAGCGGGCGAGTTGCTCCGTGATGCTGTCTTCTCGCGACGGAGCCTACCGGCAGCGGTGTTTCCCGGTGACAGTGCCCGGGCACGGAGGCTATGGGCAGTCAGGAGGTCCTGGGCCAAGCGGCCCGGCTGGCCTCCTCCGGTCTGCTCCTGCAGGTACTTTCTGCCCGGCCAGCCCCACGCCGTTCTGCAGCCGGGATTCGTGGGGAGCCCACCTCTGGGCGGACTCCGTCCCAGTGTGGATTTGGCTACCCGAGGGGTTCGACAGGAGAAGGTGGAGGCGGAAAGGGGGCTACTGCGCCCGGAGTTGGGAGATTGGGTTCAGAATCCTGATTAGGAGATTGCAAATACGCCACTTTCCTTTTGAGAATTGTAGTTCCCATATGGCAGTAGGAGAGAGGTCAGGTGGCAGGGTTGTTTATGATGCTGTAGAATCTGATGTTTTTTTAAGGCAAGGGGTTAATTTTCCCCATGCTCCACCCCTTACCCTCAAACACCTTCCTCAAACTCTCTGACTTCCACTGAGTTCAAAGAGACAGTATGGCAAAGGTAAGAACAGGGACCTCAGGCAGGCCTGAATTGAAACCCTGGTTCTGCTATGCACTTGCTGCATCAACCGGGAGAAGTGACTTCACCCAAAAAGCCTCAGCTCCTCATTGGGAAAAGGGGTTATGAATAGTATCTAGCTCATAAGATTGCTGTTAGGCTAGATTGAGGTTATTCAGATGACTGCACTTAACAAGTATGTCTTAGTGTGCACTTAGTACATGTTGGCTGTGCCTCAATAAATGGCTATGTGACCTTGGACCAATCACTTCTTCTTCTTGGTCCTAATTTTCCTCATCTGTCAGATACAGTATATGCCAGTTGGTCCAAATGATATGTAAAGATTCTTTTAACCCAAGGAGCTGGTCATTCTGAGTCAAGCGGCTCAATTTTTCTGTGTCTCACTCTTGAGCCATCCAACCCTTTCTCACAAAAGTCCTGAATCCACCTTCTCCCTTATCTTGTAGAATCAATTTTTCATGTCGAGTTTAGGAGAAAGAACAAGGCAAGCTTGAGCTCAAGTTTGGGCCTTGTTGCTTGCTAGGTGCCCATCCTTGGAGAGATCACTTGACTTCTCTGAGCATCAGTTTCCTCATCTTTAATGAGAACAATATTGCTACCTCATAAGGTCATTAGGGAGATTAGATGAAATTCTGTGATGTGCCTAATACATTACAAGTACTCAATAAATGGTAGCTATTTTTTGTAATAATGGTCATTACAATTTTTTAAATGGTCATCATAGGAATGAAATGACATCGGGCAACTCATTTGGCTCTGTCTTACTTGCATCATGTGCATTTACTTGGTTGCTTTTAAGGGTCAAATAATTAACAGATGTGAAAGAACTCTTTTTTAAACTGTAAATTCCTTTGCAAAGTGAATTTGCAAAGTGACGACTGTTACCAATAAAAGCCACTATGTGGAGGAAATACTGGGTAGCATGAGTAACCTCAGAGCTTCATTAGCTCAAACTTTTACTCAAACCAATTAAGAGACAGGGAAAAGCCTGAGACATGAGGTTTTTTACAAAAGGATACCTTTGATTTTGAAGTTAACATAACCATGTGTTTGTGGTTTTTTAAAACAATAGCCATCCCAGCTGGGTGGCTAAATTGGTTGGAGCATCATCTCATACATCAAAAAGGTAGCAGGTTCAGCCCTGGCCTTTGTGGTTTGGTTGGAGCATTGTCTTGTAACCGAAGGGTTGTGGGTTCAATTCCCAGTCAGGGCACAGAGGTAGGTTGTGGGTACAATCCCTGTCCAGACCTACAGTCCCTGGTCTGGGCACGTATAGGAGGCAACCAATCAATGCTTCTCTCTTGCGTCAATGTTTCTCTCCCATCCTCTCTAAAGAGCAATGAAAAATGTCCCTGGGTGGAAATTAAAAAAAAAAATTCTTTAAAGTTGCAGGTTTGATCTCCCATCAGGGCACATACCTAGGTTGCGGTTTTGATCCCAGTGAGAGCATGCATGGGAGGCAACCAATTGATGTGGGTCTGTCTATCTGTCTGTCTGTCTCCCTCCCTCCCTCCCCCCCTTTCTCCCTTCCCCTATCTCTAAAAAATTCTCGGGTGAGAATTAAAGAAAAAGAATAACCATAATTTTTAGGTTTATTGTATATTTTAATTCAATCTTGTATGCTTTCTCAATTTACAATGCAGACTCTTGAGGTAGTTTTGCAATTACATTGTAATCTTCAAGAATTTGAGAGTTTCTTCTCTGTCATAACTCTGAGCTGGCCATAGTGAAAGTATTAATGAGTCTTATCTGTATGCATTTTTTCAAAAATGCTTTTACCTACACAATCCTGTTTGATCCTTGTTATCAAGCCTGTAAGATAAGCAGCCTCAGTTGACAAGATGATGGGGCAACCAGTTAAATGGTGAGTGGAGATGTTCAGCTGAATGGGGTTTTCCATTAACAGCTCTATGAATTGGCTTCAAACCTCTAAAATTGAGTATAGAATTTGGCGTGTACATATGTTCAGGAGTGCGCAAAAGTAGGTTTACAGTTGTAATATAAATGATACAGTAATCAATAAATAATAATAGGAGTGAGCTGTTTCACGTACTCACAACTGTAAACCCTGCCCTGCCCTGTATATACCTGCATGTTCCTAATGAGAGCTACAGATCTTTCAGCAGACTCACAAAAGGTCACATTTGACTCCATAAATGTTAAGATTGTGATATCTTGGCTTTGGAGACCTTGCTGCTCTGTGCACCTCTGGGACATTGTTAAACTGCACTTTCCCTTTTTGGTCATACCTTTCCCCCCAAATTTTCAGACTTTAGCAGTTCATTGGCATATTTTGATTGCCTAAGGTTGCAGTTGTTCATAGGTAACTCTCAGAGTGCTGCATAGAGAAGTGATGTCTTTTGTTCTCAGGTGCACTTGAGTTACACCTGTGGTGCTGCTGGGCCACAGCGGGAGAGCCCCTCAGTGTGAGGCCAGCCCCCCAGCCAGCATCCCCATTGAGTGACCCCATCTAATTGCAACCTGTTCTCTGTTTCCTAGGGAGAATTCTTTGCTAAAGTGGTTTTCTACAGACAGATTTGAAAGTCTCAGGATATATTCCTTTCTTAAAAAAAAAGATTTTATTTATTTATTTTTAGAGAGAGGGGAAAAGAGGGAGAGAAACATCAATGTATGGTCGCACATCCCCAACTGGGGACCTGGCCTGCAATCCAGGCATGTGCCCTGTCTGGGAATTGAACCAGCACCCCTTTGGTTCGCCGCAGGCCGGCACTCAATGAACTGAATCACACCAGCCAGGGTGGATATATCTCTTTCAAATGGCAATAGCTGGATTCTGTCCCACTCCCCCCTGCCCTCCCTCCCCACCACATTTTATGTTATTTTGTTATTGCAGTTGTCATTTAAAAGGTATTTCAACTCCTCTCTGGAAAATGGCAAATATTCAGTAGATAAATACAGCCTTTTCTGTTTTCTAATTGAAAACTGGAGTTCAGAGAGATTAAATGTCATTATCAGAATCCCCAGATACAGGCAGGTAGAGAAGAAAGAGAATTAGACCCCTTGATTACTAGTGAGTCTGCTACACCCTGTTGGTTAACACTTGCTAAGTGTGTGCTATTTCTAAACAGGCTGGAGGGAGGGGCATTGTAAAGCACTAACTAAAGTTCTCTTTCTGCCTCCTGGAGTGCCTGACTGAACCCAAAGAAATTTCCTGAGTCTATCAGTGCTTTTCTCTTCTCCTGAGTAAATTAGGGTTTACTGTTGGGTTCTTTGACCACTGCCCAGTCATGCCAAGAGACCCTAAAAAATGAAATTTTGGGGAAAAATGCAGACAGATTGAGTGTTTTGGAAAGGGCCTCCGTGGCAAAGCTGCTGGGTGTGTTTCCACTAGGAAGAGCAGCCATGTTGTTTTCATTTCAGTGAAGTAAACACTTTGAACATAATTTACTCTTTTCTAATAAAAATTATATTTATTTTTAGAGAGATGGGAAGGGAGGGAGAATAGAGGGAGAGCAACATCGATGTGTGAGAGGGAAACATTGATGGGTTGCCTCTCCTACGTGCCCTTATTGTGGACCAAACCACAGCCCAGCCCTGTGTCCTGTCCTGGAATTGAATCGGTGGGTTTCAGCTTGTGGGACAACGCCCAGCCAGCTGAGCTGCACCAGTCAGGGCCCAACACAATTTATTCTTACGTATTTTTCACGTATTTTTCTTTTTTTCTTAGGTGTTGTTTCGGTTGATCACCTTTGTCTTGAATGCATTTATTCTTCGCTTCCTGTCAAAGGAAATCCTTGGCATAGTGAATGTACGGTAAGAAGGGATGTGCCCTAGTATTGTCCATAATTCACATGCCTAGCCAGGTTTTCCTCTGTGCCTTTGATTTTAGAAGCACGGACATTGACTGGAGTCAGAGTGCTTTAGTGGTGGGCTGAGGAGGAGCGTGCTGGGGTCGGGGACTGAGCGGGGGAGTTGCTTTAAATGGACCCATGGAGTTTTTCCATTAGCAGCCTCTAAATGCACATTTCCCTGCCAGCGTTTTCCTGTTTGCCTGTTCTTAGAACCCAGGAGAGGAGTGGGAGTAATTCATTGCAAACCCTGTCTTAGGTATAATTCTGTGTTCTTTTCCTGCTGACAGCAAAAGAAGCAGGGATTCTGCAGTTTGTGAGGATGTGCTTTGCAATCTCAGGGCTGGTACAGCCACTTTTTTTCCCTCAGTGAAATTTTTAATGGGAAATGGTAGCTGAGATAAGACCTTGAGTCCTTGTCATTAGTTCCTTGGAGGCTCTTAGCTGACTTGCTTTGTCTTTAGACTGTTTGCTTCTCCTACTCTCCTCCTTTCTGTTCAAGGACACCCACACATATTTTGTATTCACAAATGACACAAAGGTGTATGAAGTGATGTGAGTGTACAGAATAGCTCATCTTCTCAGATGTGTCCTCATGTCCTGATAAATAAGACAGTATGTTCCAGACAGCATTTCACGTCAGATGCCTACCAAACATATACTCTTGGAGCTTAGTGAAGGTTCTCAAACACTGATGGGCAAAGGAATTATCTGGGAAGCTTTTCACTAGGTAAAGCTGATGAGGGGCCCAGGAATCTGAATTTTTGACAAGTTCCTCAAGTAATTTTGAAGTAGGGTCCATACTTTGAGAACTATTTTAAAAGCAGGAAGGAAAAGATCAAATCTTCCTAGGTGCTCAGATTTAGAGCAGTTTGGGCCTCTCTCATCCAGTCTCCTCGGGATTGGTAGGTCCCTGTTTTAATAGCCCTTGTCTGGCCAGCTGCCTGCTCAACATATGTTTCCTCATTCGAAATGTAGCAGGGTGATCCTTGGACCACGTCAGAAACCTTAGCCATGGGCCACCCCACTCTGGCTTCATCTGGGCCACACATGGCCTGTTGAGGAAGGGAAACCTCAGCTACTCCTCACTAAGGTGCAGGAGGGTCCACCTAGGTACACCTGCAAGCCTTGCCATCACGGCTGACAGCCTTTTCACCTGTCCTAAGATTCTTTTGGCTAGAGCCTCCACTCAGTAGAGCCTCAGCTTCTTTCACAAGGGCTATTGGGTCACCAGTCTCAGAGTCTCCTTGCTGTGTGGGGTCATATCTTGTCCTTTTCCTCACAGTCAGAGGCACACCTCTGCCTGTAGCCATAAAGCCTGCAAGCTCTGGGGACCGCTGTGGTGTAACTCTATCCCAGGCATAACTCTGTAGACACACATGCAAGCGTCCCTTATTTGCTTCCTAATTCTGTTGTTTGAGTGGCTTAGACTAGTCAGGGGCCCTATAAGAACTCACAGTCTTCCACATCACCACCAGTGATTTATGATGACCAAGACTTTTTTTCTCCCTGTTGCTGGTAAAATCTCAGAACTGCTTTCTAGTTCTAAAAAAAGAACTAGAGATCTTATTGATTTCTGCTTTTCCTTACAGGCTAACACTGCTTTACTCAACCACCATCTTCCTGGCCAGAGAGGCCTTCCGTAGAGCATGTCTGAGTGGGAGCACCCAGCGAGACTGGAGCCAGACCATCAACCTCTTGTGGCTAACGTGAGTTGTGCTTTGTCAGGAGACAGTTCTGAAGGCAAGTGTAACCAAATATTACAAATTAAAAAGCAACAGTTGCCTAAAGCTGAATTGTCTCCAGCTTTGGTTTTGCAATGGGTTTCTAGAGACCTAACATCTGATGTTTTCTCTCTGGATGGCCAGGAGCCAGAGGGGGCTCCAGATGGGGGCTTCTGGGCCAGGTCTCTAGCCCTAGTTCTACCCTTTGTGGACGTTGTTTCTGCTGTTCCTGAATCCCAATCTGGGCTCCCCTGAGCCTGTGCTGTCTTTTTTATTCCTAATCTTTTCCCTCTGTGCTATTTTCTGAGCTTTTAACAACCACTTAGTATTTTTTGAAAGCGTTTTAGGAATTTCATTATATTTTTCTTCAATTTTGTTATGTTGGTTTCAGTTCTGAGCCCTTTAGAATATTCTTGAAGACCACGTACATCAGCTAAAAATTATAATAGCTTTTCTGCAGCTAACTTCCTGCAGGGAGAGCTGGTGGATGAGGTTGTTTCCCAGTATCACTCCTATTGCCTCATGGAAATGACTTTCATAAGGGCAGAAATGAAATGACTTTCATTTCACGAGAAGGATGACTGCTGACTACTAGTCATCTTTAAGTGCTCTGTGGTACACATGTGAAGGGATACTGTGTACTGGTCTATTGGTCATTTGAGTGTAAATACCAGCTGTGTACTGTGTTTTAGTGATTCTAAGTGGGAACAATAGGCACACACTTTTGGGGAATTTTGCTTTTTGAGTCAGTGTAACACAATGGATAGGAATGTAGCCTAGCATTAGACAGATCAGGATTGGGTTGTGCTTCTGCCCTTCACTAGCTGTTCATGACCTTGGCCAGATTACCCAGTACCCAGCCTTAGTTCCCTCATCATTTAAATGAAGATAATGATAGCGTGGCTGGTGTGGCACAGTGGATTAAATGAAGATGATGACAGGATCATTGTGAAATATCCGTGAGATAAAGGAGTACTGAGCATGTAGTTAAGTGCCTTATTAAGAATTAGCCATTTTATTATTATAACTATATTTCTTTTCTGTTCAGTGTATTTTAATATATATTTATGTTTTTATATTTAGCACATTAAAAACAGTTTCCCCCCCATTTCCAGAGTCCCTCTGGGTGTATTTTGGTCCTTGTTCCTGGGCTGGGTCTGGCTACGGTTGCTTGAAGTGCCTGACCCTAATGTCGTCCCCCACTACGGAGCAGGAGTGGTGTCGTTTGGTCTCTCAGCTGTGGTGGAACTTCTGGGAGAACCCTTCTGGGTCTTGGCACAAGCACATATGTTTGTCAAGCTCAAGGTCAGTAAGCCTTCTGCTGTGAATGGGAAATGCAAGAGAGATTAAAAAAAAAAAAATGCCATAGTAAGAGAGAATGATGTTTTTCAGACTTGCACCTAAAAAGGTATTTGGAGAAGGGTAATGTGATAAGCTTAGTTCATTCACTTGAAATTTGGCAGATGGTCCCTGGCTAGTGTGGCACAGTGGATTGAGCACTAGCCTGCAAACCACAGGGTCGCTGGTTCAATTCCCAGTCAGAGCACATACGTGGGTTGCGGGCCAGGTCCGCAGTAGGGGGCGCTAGAGAGGCAACCACACATTGATGTTTCTCTCCCTCTCTCTTTCCCTTCCCTTCTCTAAAAATAAATAAATGAAATCTTTAAAAAAAATTGGCAGATGGGCTGAGCTAAAGTTTACCTTTGCTATGCTATTAGTGAAAAAACAGGCTAGTGTTAGTTTAGATAAGACTCTAAACTCTGTCCAGGTAGTTCAGTTGGTTAGAGCATTGCCCTGGTGTGCCAAGACTGTGGGTTCCATCTCTGGTCAGGGCACACACAAGAAGCAGTCAGTGAATGCATGAACAAGTGGAACAAATCCATATTTCTCTCCCTCTTTTACCTTCTCCCTCTCCCTCTCGCTGTCCCTCTCCTCCCTCCCTCTCCCTCCCTGTTTCTCTCTCTATCTCCCTTCCTCTCTCTAAAATTAATCACAAGAAAAAAACTGGGGGAAGAAGAGGGGGTGGAGGGATTGAGCAAAAAGGAAAAAGAACTTATGGACATGGACAACAGTGTGGGGATTGTGGGGTGGGGAGAGTATAAGTGGACTAAATGGTAATGGAAAAAATACAATAAAGATTAACTTTAAAAATAAAGATAAAAGAAAAAGATAAAGAATTTAAGAGGACCGTAAAGGTTTTTCAGATTTTTCTATTGATCCTATTTTTGTTCTATACTAACTTCTCTCTTCATCTTTTAAAATATATAATATGATATGTGCAAAAGAATGTGTATAACATACATATAAATCTTTTTTTAAGATTTCATTTATTTAATTTTAGAGAGAGGGGAAGGGAAGGAGGAAGAGAGGGAGGGGAACATCAATGTGAGAGAGAAACTGATTGGTTGCCCTGACTGGGAACCGAACCCGCGACCTCTCAGCCTACAGGATGATGCCCAACCCACTGAGCCACACCAGTCAGGATTATCCTAGATTGTCTACCTGTCATTCCTTTGCATCTTGTAAAACACTTTTTAGTAAAGTTTTTGCGTAGTTTTTCGTAATGTTTGTGAAGTGCACTCTTTGCTGCCTGTTTGCAGGTGGTTGCTGAGAGCCTGTCAGTTATCCTCAAGAGTGTGTTGACGGCTTTCCTTGTGCTCTGGCTGCCTCACTGGGGACTGTACATTTTCTCTTTGGCCCAGGTAATATTTACAGCTTTTAACTTTTGTATAACCTCTTTTTCCACCTGGTTTTTCTTCTTGTTCCCACTACTGCATGGTTTATGTTGAAGTATTCATGCACGTGAAGGCTAGGATCTCCAGAAAGATGGCCTCGACACTGCTTCTCTGGCTGCCATGTTCATCCTGCTGCACGCCCTGGCACCGCTGGTGTCCCCGGAACCTGGTGAAGGCCACACTCCAGGCCTAATGGTTAAACATAATACTCCTTCAGATACTCTGTGGGCAAGTCCAGACCAAAGCGATCTTTGATTGTCTGCCTTAGGAAGGAAAAAGAGAGCAGTAAGTGGATGGGGTGGGAATCAAATTGCACGTGTGTTATTTTCCCTGGATTTCAACCAGCTGTTTTTGGAGTCGGAGGAAACTCTGCCAAGCCTGTTTTAAACTTAGATTAATATCTTACATAATTCATCCCTGGCTGGGTTGCTCAGTTGGTTGGAGCATTGTCTCACACACCGAAAGGTTGCAGGTTCCATCTCTGGTCCGGGTGCGTGTGGGAGGCGATCGATCAATGCTTCTCAGTCACATCGATGTTCTTCTCCCTCCCCCAACTCTGTGCACCCCCCCTTCCTCTCTCTAAAACCAATGGAAAACATATCCTCTGGTAAGGATTACTGCTGAATCTTACATAATTCAGACGTCATGGATCAAGTTGTAGTAGGTACCCTTTCATTCTAGCAGTTTAGGTTCATTTTCATGTTATTGTTTTCTAGTCTAGTTCACATTTCTAGTTTTAATAAAATACAAGTAGAGTACAAGTGCTAATTAAAAATGAAATCTAAGATTAAATAGTTACAAAGCAGTTTGTAATTTTTTCTTAGTGTATAGGAAGATAAGTTAAAATTTAGTAATGATGCATGTGAAAACCTTTCCCATGCCCTAGACAAAAACTACAAATGTTTTTGGGAAACACGGAAGAGCTAGATTTAAAATTAATTGAATGAGAATGAGAATTGCCTCTTAAAAGCAATTGGCAAATGATTACATATTTTAGATAAATTATCTATGATTGTTTTTGCCACATTTTGTTAGCCTCAGAACTACAGTCCCTAACATTCATCATATCTTTGATGCACTCTCCCTCATAGGACAGGAGGGCCACACAGACACCCAGTTATTAGTCGACTCTTCTTGGGAAGGTGCTTTCATTATGACTTTCTTATTCATAGCTCCCACCAGGATATGGCATGCATAGGTCACATGTCAGCAAGGCCAGTTCTGAATTTATTTGCTTCCTTATCATAAGACTTCTGAGAGTCTTTCTCAGAGCTTTTCTCTGGTACCTTCTCTGTCAGTTTGTGCATTAGGGGTCTGAGAGCCAACAGCACCTCCTATTAGCAGGCAAGCCACAACCTGTACCCTGGGATTGCCTTTGACCTGCCAACAGGTTCTCCCTCAAATAGCCCCTCACCCCACAACAGCAAATGTCAAATGAAAAGGTCGCTTTGGAATTTATAAAGAATTCTTACAGCTCAACAACAGAAAGACAAGCCACCAGATGGGAGAAGATAGACAAATAAATGGCCAATAAGCTAATGACAAGATGTTCAACATCATTAGTCATTAGGCAAATGTAAATCAAAACCACAGTGAGAAACCACTTTGCACCCATTAGGATGGCTCTTATCAGAAAGAAAAGCCAGAAAACAAATGTTGAGAAGGATAAGAAGAAATCGGAACCATCATACGTTGCTAGTGGTAAAATTAAATGGTGCAGCCACTGTGGAAAACAGTTTGGTCGTTAAATGTAGAACTGCCAAATGACCCAGCACTTTCACTGCTGGGTATTCACCCAAAAGAATTAAAAACAGTTGTTCAAACAACTTGTGCATGGATATTCACATCAATACTATTCACAGCTGCTGAACAAAATGCCCAACTGAAATCCCCAACTGATGAACAAAATGTGGTGTATCCATGTAGTAGAGTGTTAGTGAGCTATAAAAATGAAATACTGATACATGTTGTAACATGATGAACCTTGAAAACATGACTTCTCAGTCATTTTACTGAGTGAAAGAAACCAGACACTAAGGGCCACCTATTGTATGGTTCCATTAACATGTAATCTCCAGAATGGGCAAGTGCAGAGAAACAGAAAGCAGATTAGTGGTTGCCAGGGGATGGGGGAAATGGAGAGTGACTGCTTAATGGGTACTGAATTTCCTTTTGGAGTGAGGGAAATGTTCTGGAATTAGATAGTGAAGGTGGAGAAGGGAGCTGGGGAAAGGGTGCTTATCACAGGATGTTGGCAGCAGGCGGTGTGGCTCGCAGCAGCCTGCTGTGTCTTAAAGGACTTGCGGCATGGAAGAAGGATCTGGGGGGAAACTGGAGGAAGGTGCTGGAAAAGTACACACTTCCAGTTATCAGATAAATAGGTACTAAGCGTGTAAGGTACATCATGATGATTATAGCTAACACTACTGTATGATATATAGGAAAGTTGTTAAGATAATAAATTCTGTGAGTTCTTATCACAAGAATTTTTTTCCTTTTTATTGTATCTGAAAAGATGGATGCTAGCTGAACCAATTGTGGTAATTATTTTATAATAAGTATAAATCAAGCCATCATGCTGTAGGACTTAAATTTATATGGTGATATCTGTCAATTATTTCTTGATAAAACTGAAAAAAAAAAAGGGTTGTGGCTGGCAGGCTCTGCTCTCAAGCATGGATAGGAGAGGTACGGATGGCAGAGGAGCCCAAACCTGCTGAACCAAGGCTCCTCTGTGTCCCTTGCTCTGTGCCTTCCCAGCAGGTGTTTCCAGATTGAAAAGGGGGCCTGGAAGTCCCATTTCTTCTTGAGCTAGTGTGCACTGTTGTTTTCAGAGGGAAAGGGGGTGGAAAGGAGTTTGTGAAAAGGGGCCCTTTGAATACTTCTCCCCAGCCAACAAATAAAACTCTAGGCTGCTGCTCCTGGCCAAAAGCCATCCTCTGTCCTGGATGGGTGGGGGCAGTGTGGGCTCTCTTGTCATTCCACTCGTCCCTCCCCATCCTGTGAAGCTCTTGCCCTCCCCGTGCACTGGGCAAAGAAGACAGAGCCAGCAGCTCAGTTCTGCTTTATAATCATAATGTCATAGGTGTCTGGGCTTCATGGAAAATCTGTGGTACTAGATGATGGATGTTAGCCCAGCCAGGACACATGGGTCCTCACAGTGTGTTGTCTAGGAGGGAGAGCTGGTTCTTTGGTCAAGTGCAAATCCTCTGAGAACATATCTGACATCTGTGTGGCAGTTGGCACTAATGGAGATCTGTCATGGAGATTGTGTTCTGCTTGCCCAGAACTTTCCTCCCAGGCAGGTGCAGTCCTTTGCACACTTTCCCCAGAGATGCCACAGTGGAGCTCGGTCTTCTGAACAGACCAGAGGGGAGGCATCTCTCAATGGAAGGTGCAGCTAATTAACACTGTTCTATTTCTTGATTGCCCTTTGAGGTCAAATTAATAGGCATATCTTAATTATGCCTATATTAAAACAGTGTGATTTAAACCCATTATTTTCTTTTTTTTTCTTTCAGCTTTTCTATACTGCGGTTCTGGTGCTCTGCTATGTTACATATTTCAAAAAGTTACTGGGTTTCCCAAAGTCAACCAAGCAACAGGCTCTTCCTGTCTCCAGAATGACAGATCTGTTACCCAATATTCTGAGAAGTAGAGTAAGTAATGTATTTTTTTGTCTCGTATCATTTTAATCACAGATGCTAGTTATCCTTGAGGGAAAGAAACTACAACTAGGTTATTTATTATTATAGTAGTAAATGTAATCTAATAGCTCATATTTATTGAGTGTTTGCCATGTACTTAGCCAGCATTTCTAAATCTTGGCACTGTTCACACATTTTGGGCTGGATCATTCTTTGTTGTAGTGGCTGTCCTTTGCATTGTGGGATGTTTAGCAGCATTCTCGATTTTTACCCATTAGGTGCCTGTAGCTACCACCCCCCAGCTACAACAACCAGTATCTCCATGCACTGCCAGTGTCTCCTGGGAGACAAAACTGCCCCAACTTGAGAACCAGTGTGCTAGGCCCTCTGACGAGTATTCTACATGCCGTTGTTTATAACAACTCTCTGAGACTGGCGCTATTGTTTATATTTTATTGTTGGAACTGAGGCTTAGTGACTAAATACCTGCCCAAGGTAAGGGTCAGAATGAGGACAGGAGCCTGCAGTGGCTTGAATCCCTGCAGAACACAGACTGTAACCACTGTGTTCCCCTGTCTCCGCTCTGTAGCCTCTTGTTTTCTCACCAGGATTAAACTCTGGTGCAGACCCTCCAGAGTGCTGATAAAGCAGGGACGACCTCTGCAGGTCCCTTCATCTCTTGTCAGGCCTATCTGTCAGGAGGCCCACTTTCCCACGTAGACCTCTGAGGATTCTTCATGCTGACTTGTGGGAGTGAGGCATAATCTCTTTGTACTCAGCTCTTCAACTCTCAGTCCATTTGACGATTATTTCCTGACTCCTGTGGGGTCAGTGCTGCTGTCTGTGGCCTAGGAGTTGCAGATGTGATGTTACACCCCTTTGCCTCTGCTCCGCTGCTTTGCGCACCGCTCCATTCTGGGCTGTCCCGCCCTCCCTTGCCCCCCACCTGTTTGCTGGCTGGATGTGATGCACTTATTTGATGTAAGACTTTGACTGGACTTCTTATTCCTCCTTTGTGATTACTTTAAAAAGTAGTAAATTATGTGGGAATTTCGTCTCAGAACTTATGGAATCTTGCCCTACAACTTTTCAAGAAAAACCAGATTGATCTAACAAAGCCAGACATGTTCTTATTAGTTAGATAAGAGTTCTCCTTTCAGATCAACTAGATCTTACCTTTAACCTAAATCAACATATAATTTTGAGATACCACAGTGCCTCATCTGCAGACTTACAAGCTTGGGACTCGAGATCACTTCTCTTGCCTGGGGCTTCTGCCACCCGCCTCAGTGGGACTGAGCATGCAGGAAAGTGCCCTCCTCTGAGTGCTCCCCAGGGCTCACCTGCACCACACCTGGCCAGCTCTACATACTGGGCCAGCCCCTGTGCCCTGGCAGTATCTTGGAAAGGGGCATTTGGACATTACCACAGGCGAGGAGAGAGGGTATGTGGAGTCTTTCAAGTGCGTATTTGACCCTGTGATGGGCTCAGAACTCCTAGCTTCATTTCCTTATCTGTCAAGTGGGGATAGTAAGAGTTCCTCTCTCCTCACGAGGTTGTGAGAGCTGCATGAGATGGGACATGTTGGGTGCTTAGCACTGTGGCCTGGCCCACCTGGGTGTCCTTAGTGACTACTGGTACCATCACCACCATCACACTGCTGCTCTGAGAGCGGGAATGGCTCCACTGAAATGTCCCAGCAAGACAACACTGGTGGCATTGATGTGAGAGCTCAGTGGTTTAACCTGGCAGTCTGTCCTGAAAGGACCCTTGCTCATTCTGCCTTGACAGAAAGCTCGACCGTGAGAAGGTTGTGTGACCTATGATACACAGTGGCACCGTTCCTGCTGACAAACAGAGCACAGCCCCATGCTGGCTGCTGGCTGGGATGTAGACATGTAGGAAGGTGATTTCTGGGCCTCAGAGGCTTCCCGTGCTTTGGGGAGGCAGTGTGTACAGACGTGAAGCCTGCAGGGCTCTCTCCAGGCCTTAGGGTCCTCATGTTTAAGGACAGATTATTGGTTTACATGAATTGTTAAGCCCCTCTGAAGACTTAAGGAGTTTTGTGAAAGTATTTGAACTTTGGCCAAGAGCTGTGTATAATAACTTCCTTTGACTGTATGCTTACTCTGTGCCTGGCATTGTGCAAAGCACTTTGCATGGACTTTGGTTTTTAATCCTTATAGTACCCTTTGAGATAAATTCCACTGTTTCCATTTTACAGATGAGAAAACAGGTTCAGAGGAGATAAGTGACTAACCGAAAATCACACAGCTGGTTTTGCACTCACTTCTCTCTAACTTCTGTCAGTGGACTAACCTTAGTCTATGTGTTTAATCTCTGTGTTATGTAGTCTTCCAAAGAAATTGGCTTATTGCCTGAAGTAATTATTTACTTACTTAAAGATTGGGAAGTTCCAGGTAGAACAATTCATTATTCAAGTTTATTTTTTTTTTAAGAGAAAAGAAATGAGATGAATTTTGAAGTCAGTGGATGACTTAACCATCAGTAGCATGCCTATCTTGACTCTCTGGAACGGCTTTCTGCGCTGCGGGCTCCCTCATACACAGCTGGTCAAACAACCACGTTCAAACTCAGTTTGACCAGATTGGAAGATTTCATTTCTATTATAGAATTCCATCTCCTTTAAAGGTACTTATTTAGTCTAAAATTAATGATCCCTCAAATAATGACTGCCCTTCATATATCTTTTATATTCTTGACACTTCTGAGGGATTTAATATGAGGGATTTGGTAATATTTAAGTAAAGCTGAGAAATTTAACACATCAAGTACTTCCTGAGCAGTATTCTGTGTTCGGCCTTGTACCAGGTGCCCTAAGTGGGGTTCCTGTCCCCAGAATGTGTGTTGTGTGGGGAGTTACAATAAGATGTGTACTCAACTGATAAATGGTGGTGAGAGGAAACTTGACTTGAGGTGGTGAACACACAATACAATATACAGATAATGTATTATAGAATTATACCCCTGAAACCTATGTAATTTTTTAACCAATGTCACCCCAATAAATTCAATTAAAAAATGTAAAAAGATACCATCACTAAAAAAAAAGATTTGTACTCAGTGAACTACACTGTAAAACAGTGTGTGTGTTTGGTATTAGAAACACAGAGAAAGAACTGATGCATTCCATCTGGGAGCATCAAGGAAGGCTTCATGGAGGAAGCCACTTTGAGCTGGGCCTTGACACATGGGTGGGCAGAGGTGAATGTGTGTGTGTGTGGTAGAAATGTGCATTTGTGGCTGTAGGAAGAAAAGCATTTCCTCAGGGCCTATTATATGTCTATCACTGTGTTGGAATTTGGGCTGACTGGGATATTTAAGTTGGCTAAACAGTTGGGGAGGGGAGAGAAAGCAAAAGGTAGGAGGAGGTTATGGCCTGCTGGCCTAGGACCAGGTAGTGGTGGCCTCAGTGCCATGCGACCTAGTGAAAGGTTTTGAACGGTACCATACTCTAATTGCTTGTGTTGAGAAGCTCACCCTCTGTTACAGGTTTATTGAGTATCTTGTTTTCTCTCATTCAGTCAGCTCCAGCAGGTAGGACTTCTTATTCTATTTTGCAGATGAGAAAACTGAGACTTGCAAAGTATCTTGCCCATGGTCTTTGCACTAATAAATCAGGAGCTGCCGTTTGAGCCCCAGTCTCTGAGTATGACTCTGAAACCCAAACCCCACCATGAGAAGGATGGGCTAGAGAGAAGGTTGGAAGTGAAAAAGCTCCAACAAGGAGTTGGTGGCAATTGTCCAGATGAGAAGTGATGAGAACAGTAGGAGGGAGAGATGGGATCATGGACAAAGCCAGAGCAGAGTGCACAGCCCTGGAGGAAGAAGGAGAGAAAGAGTGCTATGTAGGGTTCGGAGACCATAGAGGGCATGGGACAGGACGGTGTCCACAGACTCTCTGGGGACTCTTGTCAGTGTGGTAAGCAAATGGCTAGTCGGTGAGTGAAAAGAGTTTGGGAAGTGGAAGAGCGAATCAGATTAAACACAGGAAGCCCCAGAGTTCTGATGCCAGACCTTTCCAGGAGGTACTGCCCATCACCTTTCACCATCCTCACTTCAGCTCCTCCATCGGTGCAGTGACGAAGTGGAATGGCTCATTGTTCAGGGGATTCCAGAGAAATTCCTGTAGACCAGCTCTGCAGTACCAACCTAGCTCTTGTGAAATAGGCCTCTTTTAACTGTCCCAAATAACAAATCCATTCTGAACAGAACAGTAAAAGCCAAAGAATGCACTTCTATTCTACCACTTAGCAGAGACACCCCTGAGAAGAAGCCCAATCTCTTACCTGATTTCCTGCCTCTATGTCCTTAATGAGTCTTTGGACATAGTCCAAACCCATTCATAGCCTACCAGCAAGTAGGCTTCAGGAAGAGCCCCGTGGGCCAGCTATAACTGTTCATTTCCGTTAAAGAGCACAGGTAGTGTTGTGCAGAGACCCCAGGAGCACAGGTGGCAAGCACAAGGCCTGTGGGACGAATCTGGCCTCCACCTTGTTTTATCCAGCCAGCACCTCGTTTCTACCCAGCAGCAGCACTGAGTACTCACTTAATTGTTAAGGAGTAGTTACGTTTATACAGTTTTAAAATTACATTCCGCCCTTTGAAAGCAACCACGAAGCTGATGTGGCCCCCGGTGAAAATGAGTTTGATACCCATGCCCCAGAGGCTCACCTGGCTTGGGGAATGTAGGAGAGAGAAGGTGTTGTGCCCCTGGCTCCTCGACTGAGGGCAGGAACAATGCCCCAAACATGGTGTGGTCCACAATGCCCCCTGGTGGTGGTAGGTAGCCTGGTGCTCTTTGTCCTGGGGAAAGGACAAGAATTTCCTTCTCAATGGGGAAGATTTACTCATGGGCTAGAGCTACCCCTGGCATCTGCTTCAGGCCCAGTGATGCCCTGAAGGAAGTGTACTTTGGGAGGATTCAGGCCTGTCCTTTCAGTGTCTGGAAGAAAGGCTCTGAAACCAAGGGGTGAGGAGATTTGGAGACTGGAAATGACTCTTGCTTTTAAGGAGTACTCTAGACTTTCCTTATTCTAAATAGTAGCCACCAGCCACATGAGGCTACAGAGTATTTGGAATTATATGAGCTGTAAGGGCAACATATGCACTGGGTTTCAAAGACTTAGTATAAAAATACAATGTGAAATCCCTCTAGTATCTTTTTACGTGTTGAAATGATATGTTGGGTTAAATATATTAAAATTAATTTATTATATATAAAATTAACCTGTTTCTTTTTACTGTTCACTGTGGCTGCTAGAAAATTTTAAGTTATATCTGTGGCCTGCATTATATTTTTGCTTTATACAGGTGGGCTTTTGGCCAAGAAGAGGAGCCACGTGACTGGGACGGTTCGCCCATGGGTTAACTCTGTAGCCACAGCTGACCTCCGGGAGAAGTGGGGTGGGCTCGGCCTTTGTGTTCCACCCCTTTCCTCCAGAGGAGCCCCACGAAATCCCACTTTTCAGAAGTTATCACTTTGAGTTAGTAATAACTTTTTAAAATGCAGGCAACCTAAGATTAAGAACCTAATACCTAGACTGAATATTTTGGGATCCAAGATGCCTTTATGACAGAGGAGGGGGCCTCAGAGGGAATTAGGGGGAGGTAGAAAAAAAAGGAGTCGTGTCCAGCCAGTTGCCCCAATCCTCTTTTTGTGGTCAGCTCTCTGGCTTTGACACTATCTGTCTCTTATGGGTTGACCTCTGCTCTTCCTAAGGACCCTTGGGAGTTTTGGAAGAGCCGGGTCAGAAGTTTAGTTGCGTTTTTTCTTTCCTCTGTCATACCAATTCTGAGTGATTTAACTGGCAAGAGAAACCTGGCTTTCTTTTGAAATATACAAGCAAAGCTCATATACTTTATGTAAAGGGATCCTGGATGGCTAAATATAGCATTAAGCTGTGGAGTGCATGGAGCAGAATTTGTTCTGAAGCTTAGCATGCATCAGACGTTTTGTAAGGAAAGAACTGACTGTGAGCTGTGTGTGTGAGCTATGGTCAGTTTACTGTCCGGGTAGCAGCCAGGGTACAACACGGTTTGTCAGGGGTCTCCGTGAGTGAACCCTAGGCAGGCCCCTTGTAGGGGGCTGTGCTACCTGAAGACTTCGTCTCCAGTTTAGGAATGTAAATTCTTTGCCAGTATTTATTGGATGTCTCTAAATGAAAGAGTAGTGGAGACTGCCCCTGTTGGGATTAGGGACCAAACGAGTTTGCCTGTCATGTAACATTATTGTACTTTTGGACTTGGAATGCCTGGGATTTGTTTGGTTTTGTTTTCTCTTTTAGGCTTTTGTAAATTGGAAAGAGGCTAAATTGACTTGGAGTTTTTTCAAACAGTCTTTCTTGAAACAGATTTTGACAGAAGGTAAGTAAAAGGTCACCCTGAGCAGTTAGGAAACCATAGTGTAAGCAAGGGGATTCCACAGACCTCCTGGTCACCTGGAGCCAGACCTCCTGCTGTCTGCAGCCCCCAGCAGAGGAGCCTCAGAGATGGGAGCTTTGCTCTATAAGGAGAGGGGACTAACGTTTATTTAGTTTTATAGTTAAATTGTCTAATTAAATCTTTCCACAGCCTGGTAAGAAAGATATTGTCTTTATTTATTATGAATGAGGAAACCAAGGGTCAGTGAGATTGTGTAACTTCTTCAGGGTTACAGTAATGAGGAACAACTTAATTTGAATCCAAGTCTTTCTCCAAAACCCCATGTTATATCATTTAAATAAATGTATTATAAAAGTATTATATCAATTATAGGAAAGTTGGAAAATAGAGAAAAATATCTGTATTTTCATTATCGTATTCTAATTTTTTGCATACTTCTTTTTTTTTGAACTTTTTAAAAACCAGGTTTTTATCATTCTATTTTCTTAAACAGTAAGATTCACCTGCATAGTAGTTTGGTCAATCTTCCAACTTTCTAAGGCTTTCCAGTGTAACAGTGACAGAGCTCTCAATGCAGAGGGCCAGCAAGGAGCTAAAAGTGCATCTCGTTTTTCTATGTATGTATGTATGTTGGTTTATTTATACCCAGCTTTAGTTCAAAGAATGAGATCTGAGGCAGCTAGAAGCTGCTGAAGGTAGTACAATAGTCTCTATATAAACTTTCTCTATAAAAGTTTCATATGTCTATACACCTATATATCTATTACTGAACACATTTTTAAATCTTTTTAAAAATTATGTTTTAATTATAAAAATAATATAATTTCATTACCAAAATTTGAGAAAGTAAAAAGTTCTAATAGTTCTAGCATCACTATTATTCTCCTTCCCTTCACCCCATCTTTATTTTTTTTACTAATTATATTCCCAAAGGGGAGTAACTCCCTGTACACCTTACTTTTCCTGTCAGAGTTAAGGGATGGGACCAGCAGGAGTCTGAGGGCTCCCTGAGCTTTGAGAGTATGTGGTTTAGCTTGCGCCTACAACATCGCCATTACAAAACTGAAACCATTTGCAAGACTTAGGGGAAGCAAGGGCCAGAGCCTTTGGAGAGCTAAGCAGAGGTCCCTTAACTACAAGTTTCTTAAGAGCAGGGAGGGTGCTGGTCACCACTGTCTCCCCAGCACCCTTCTGGGCCTGGCAAATGCTAGGTATTCAGCAAGTACTTGCTGATAAAGAAAGGTATCTGTAGTGCAATTGTATTGTGATACTTCACCTCAGATTGTTAGAGTTTTGGAAAGGGCATTTGCTTATATGTACTTTTTTCCTCCCAAAGTTTTAAGAGCTATTTAAATGAGTTGAGGAATGGATCCAGTCCAAACAATGGCCCTAAGTTGGTTGTCTGGACTTGAGTGGCTAGACGTGTGTGCCAGGCGGGAAAGTGGTGCTGACTGCTTGCTGGCAGAGGGCTGTTAGGAACTCCTCAGGGCCTCCACCTCCATGGCTGTGATATGAGGAAGTGGCTTGACAAGGACCCCCAGATTCTTTTTATATAAAAACTACAGTTCTAAAAAAAGTTGAAATTATTCATTGCAGTAGCAAAAATGTGTGTGCTGTTACCTTCTGCCCCCACATTTCCTGAACACTCTGTGGCAGGTACTGAGAACACACAGATGAATGAGTAACAGGCCACGGTCTCAAGGAGCTCATTCTCTCATCAAAGATGCACATTTTTGTGTGTGGTTAACTCTGATACAGAGCTGTGAGGACTGTACTTGAAAACGTGAGCTTATTCACCAGACATCTCTAGAGTACCCTCTCATTTCCTGGCACTCTGCTGGGAAACCAGGGTCAAAGAGATGACTGAGACATGGTTCCTGCCCTCGGGGAGCTTACAGAGTACAGGAAGGACAGGCCTATTGTGCCAGAACACAAGGAGTTCCCTGTAGGAATGCCATTCTAGGTGGTGAGATGCAAAGAACTAGCCCGACTCAGAGCAGCTGGAGGGGCTGAAATGTAGGAGGGTGTGGCAGAGGGTGACCATGTGATGGTGGGAGGTAGGAATGAGTTTGGTGAAGGGAGGCCAAACAGACAGCTTGGGGGTTAATTCATAAATGGTTTCAAATACATAATTAAGGAGCCTGGACTTTTCACTAACATGGAGGAGCCATTTAAAGGTGTGAAAGCAGAGGTTGACTGAAGGACTAGATTTGCAAAAGATAGAACTCTTGGCAGTGAGGATGGATTGGAGCCGTACAGAGACGCAGATGGGAGTGAATACAATTGTGGGTCCAGTGCCTGGTAGAACCCGCAGAGGACCCTGCTACAGATGCCGTGTCTTGGAGGTTGTAGGGAGGCAAGGGCCAGAGAGACCTGAGAGACAATCACTGCTTCTAATCTCTTCATATATTGCCTCCCCCCTCCACCCCCACCCATCAAGTTGCTAGGAAGTGAGAACTTGCCTTAATACGGCTTTGGGCACTCTTCAGTTCTCTATCTCCGTAATGGTCAGTGCTTTCCACTCACAGATAATAGGAAAAATCATACAAACTGGTGATGGGAAGTGGAGTTCTGGGCTGGTGTCTTCACCTTGAAGGCATTTGACTTACATTTGAATCATGAACTTGGGCTCCACAGTCTTGCCAACCTCCACGGAGCTTTCTCCATCAGAGAGGAAACTTTTAATGAGTCTGTGCACATTACCATGGACCTTTCATTTTACAGAATCTACACTCAAATTATCTGATCTCCCTTAAAACTTGGGACAATTATTTTCATTATTAATATTTTAGTAATCTCCCCATACTTAAAAAACAACTTATCAGACTGGATTTTGTTTGTTTTATTTTTAACTGGTTTGGAGATTTGCTGTCAATAAATCTCCCAGTACTTTCTAAATTGTTACTATTTTGAGGTTATTTGAAATCAACATTAGGACAAAGAATGTTTCTTTAATTGATTATCTAATTTTTCTCCTCTCAAAGGAGAAAAATTAGATAATCAATTAGGAAAAGTTACAATTAGGAAATGTTGATTATCCTAGGAAATTAGGATAATCAACAGGAAAAGTTGATAGACGGTAAGAGAAAAGGAAACGAGAAAATAATGTACATTTGAAGTGCTAATTATTTTGCTTTTGCTTTTCTGTTTGCAGGGGAACGATATGTGATGACATTTTTGAACGTTTTAAATTTTGGCGACCAGGGTAAGGTGAAATCATGTAGTGTTTTTTAATTAAAGAGGAATACTGTTAGTAGATATTTTCTAATATTTTTCTTCACATTTTGATATATTCAATGAAAATGAACCTAAGGGTTATAAAAAATGAAGATTATAAAAACATGAATCCTGAAGATTGAAAATTGTAGGCCTTTATAAATATATACAGTGTACTGACTCTCCCTTTTCTTTTTTTTTAATATATTTTTAAAAATTTATTTTTTAGAGAGAGGAGAAGGCAGGGAGGAAGAGAGGGAGGGAAACATTGATGTGTGAGAGATACATCGATGGGTTGCCTCTCACACCCCCTCAACCTGGGATCTGGCCCACAACCCAGGCAGGTGCCCTGAGTGGGAATTGAACTTGTGACCTTTCAGCTCGCAGGCTGGCACTCAATCCACTGAGCCACATCAGCCAGGGCTGATTCTCCCTTTTCATGTGACTTGGGTGGCAGGTTCTCAGTTGAGATCCCTACTCTTACCCTGCTTTCTGCAGAGCTCTGAAACTCACTTTGGGGGTGAGAAAGTGTTAAAAGGGAGCCCATCATCACAGTCACAAAGATTCTCCCCATGTTTGTGTGGCTAGACAGGTCTTAATATTTTTTTATATTTATTTTTTTAATACAACCTCAGAGTAGTGGAAATAAAAATAGAAAAAATCAACTTGGTATTAGTGGGTTTTATTTAAAAATGTTCATGATAGAAGAGTGTTGTATCTTTTTTTTTTTAGAGTTCTGTATTTTGACTATCAAAGTCAGTATTCTAGTTGTGACACATTGTACTATAGTTTTGCAAGCTGTCACTATTCAGAAAAACTGGGTAAGGAGTACCCGGATCTCTGTTTTTTTCTTTTAACTATATGTGACTATCATTATCTCAAAAAATTTAACTTAAAAAAGAAAATTATAAAACAAGTGAACAGTATGTGAAAATTCAAAGGGGAAAACCAGTAGGATTGTTGTTTCTTCCTTTTGTTTTGTAGGTATATATGATATCGTGAATAATCTTGGCTCCCTTGTGGCCAGATTAATTTTCCAGCCAATAGAGGAGAGTTTTTATATATTCTTTGCTAAGGTGCTAGAGAGAGAAAAGGACGCCACCCTTCAGAAGCAGGTAGCCTTGTTTTTTTTGTCACTGTCTCAAATGATTCTTTTCTAATTGCAAGCTCAATCGACAGGAATGTGGAGCAGTCTGCTTCCCTTCTGTCTGGTCTGAAATTTTCTTCTAGATTTCATTTTCTACACACTCTGAATGATGGCTCACTTCTTTCACAGCCTTCTCCCCTTCTCAGTGGCTGTCCCTTTCTTTTCACCCTTTGTCCTTCTTTATGACCTTATTCTTGACTGAGCCTCTCAGAACTCTTGACGGCTGTCCACAGTGCAGTGTTGACTGCCTCCCGTGGTCTAGTGTTAGGTGTAAGTCCCAGAGGTGAGCCAAAGGATGCAGAGGCTGGGGCAAGGCTGACATAGAACCTAGGAGGGGAAAGACCTGGTCCTTCGGTTTCTCTCAGCACACCAGGTGTTTAAGCATCTTAAGGACTGTGAAATGTCCAGAGCAACATTCTGACCGTGAGAATCTACGTACTCCAGATGGTAAATACAGAAGAGCTTTTAATCTAGAAGTATTTGGTTGTATAAACTTCCCTTTTTCTAAAACCACTGAAAATGTCTGGCTTATTTTAGAATTAAAAGCAAGCTAAGCTGGCCTCTTTACATATCTTAGAAGACATTTTGCAAAACATAGGTTATGCACAGTATCTCACAATGAGCTAATCTTGTTCTCTATTTGATTTAGGAATATTTTCCTTAGTACATTGACAGGAATCTCAGGATTTGGAGATGTTTGCCAGGAGAGGCACACTGGCAAAGCTAGCTAGCACAGAAAAAATTTGCTATCCCATTTAAGAATAAGTATCAGAGGAGAAAGTGAGTGTTTCCAAAGCAACCTTTGAAATAATTTATCCTAAGTGAGTTAAAAATTAAACCTTCCCTGAACTCCTGAAGGAGGCACACATTATCATTTTTCCTCCACTTGCTGACTGGCAGGAACAAACACAGGCTGCAGAAAAGCGGTGATGCCCCTCGCTGATTGAAAGAGTGATCTGTAAACCAGCAAAGGGGGAAGGCCAGGTGGGAAGTTTTTCTTTAGCTCATGATTCATCCAACTTCCTTGCTTCTCTCTGGCACCAGGAGGACATTGCTGTGGCTGCCGCAGTTTTGGAGTCCCTGCTCAAGCTGGCCCTGCTGGCCGGCCTGACCATCACCGTTTTTGGCTTTGCCTACTCTCAGCTGGCTTTGGATATCTATGGAGGAGCCATGCTTAGCTCAGGATCAGGTATGCACAAGAGTTGCCATATTTGTTCTAATTTCTGAACAGAAATAGGAGAGTCTTATGAAATTGAAGACCTTGTGCACACATGGTTGACGTCTGTGTCATGTAGCAAGAATGGTCCATGGCTGTGGCTATGTGGGGGACTGTTCCCCTCACAGGAAGTCAGACAAGCTCAGGGTGCGGTTGGGGGCTTTGGTACCAGGTCAATCAGTTCTGCAACCTTACTTGAAGTTGTTAAGAACCTTTGGCTTTCCTTTTAGGCCTAAACTGTGATTTGCTAAGCACTTCCCTGTGCTCCTCCTGGGGTGAGGGAGGAAGGCTGAGAGCAGGCTCGAATGAACCTCCACTCAGTACTGAACACATCTGAAGATAGTAAATACCACATAAATCTCACAGCCTGATGCATAAAAGCCTTTGAAGGATAACCCAGAGGCATTTGCAGAGAATAAAATTGATCTCTGCAAATAAAATATATATATATATATATATATATATATATATATATATATATATATATATATATATAAAATCCAGTGACTTGGTTTTTGAAGGAGAAAAGTATTGACTGTGTTGAACTTTGAAACACCTGGTGCCCAGGCCACTAAGCCTCTCACAGCTCTTGCTAGGCCCTGGGGACATCACCAGTTTCAAAATGCACTGGGCCGTAGGCTGGCAGTCCGTTTGCCGTGTTTCATCTTGTGTTTAGCAGAGGTGGTTTTCATTCCTCAGGTCACTAGATGAGACCCCTGAAGACTTCTTTCTGCTGTCTCATCTCAATATAAAGAGCTTTGTCAATTGCCATTTTACAAGTGCACTGGCAGTCTTTAATCCCCATTATAATGAGCCCAAACTTTTGGAATTAGGGAAAGAAGGCCTGAATTTCTAGCCTTGAACAAAAGTCATTACTTTTGGAGAAACACCTGCTGTGAAACCAGTGCTGGGGTTTGCAGCTCCCTGGGGCTTGAGCTCTAAGAAGTGCATTTCTATCAGGCAGCTGCAGGGAGGCCTCAGTAGGAAGCCATTAGTGAGTTAGTGTGCAGAGACTGGGACTTAGCTATTTCACAGCAGCTCTGCCCCCTTAGAAAGGTAATCACTGAAGAGCAGCCTTTAATATGATCTAGTTACAGGACATTGCCATGGGCAGAGGGCTGTCCCATCAGTATCATGATCACCTGACAGAGTCATTATTCATAGGAAACATATGAACAAACAACCATAATTGTGCAGTCCCTATACTCAAGTGAGATGCTGGTGCCAATTTTGAATGCTGATAATATATTTGTCAATTAAAAGAGCCAGTGTTAGTTGATTTTTAAGGTAATAAATTCTGTCTCTAATGGTTTATGTCGTGGACATTAACTTTAGACTCAAAAAGATATTCTCTCAGTGTCATCTTCAGAGAGAGTAGAGTCTTGAGAATGGTCCGATTCTTAGTCTGTGAAACAAACATGTGATTTGGGGAGCCACCGAGGATCTTCAGGACCATCATCTCTTGCCTGGCTCAGGGCTGTACCAGTGTCACTGTCCCAACAGAGTCTTCTAGTATTGTCTCCTCATTGTAGCTGCCTCTCATTTAGACCAAATATCAGCTCTCCGTAAAGCCTGTTGTGGCTTCTGGTAGGGCCAGTGTGGCTCTCCAGGGTGCCTGCTGGCTTTCCTTCCCTTGTTTCTACTCCCCTTCATCTCCTCGCCCTGCTCCTGACTCTGTGGACCACTGCTGCGTATCTGAATGCCTTTTCTGTGCCAGAAAATACTAACACTGTTGCTCCCCCACCCCCAGTCATTTTTGCTCACTTAAATATTTCCAGAAAGTCTTCCTGAATTAATCAGAAAAGAAGAGCACTTTTCCGGGGTTCAGCCAACCACCTTAGTTTTGAAAGTGGAACTTGCGAAACAGCTGTCCTCAGTTGCCCCAGTTGCTGGTTGACCTCTGTCTTCACCCATGAGGTAGACTTACCTGTGATCTGAATTGGCCTCTTACACTCTCCATCCTCTGTGCTTCCATCTCCAAATGTGGGACCTGGACACCATATAGGCAGGCTTTCGTGTGGGGTGCTATGGTTTTGCTTTGCGGTATTTGGGGTTAGGACTGTATATACTTAGGAGATTTGTAAGTGCTCTAGTGGCTCTTCTCAGAACTCTTTTTCATACCTAGCTTTTCTGTCCTCAAGAAAAACACACATTCACTGAACTTCCCTGACATTTCTCACATTCATCTCTTAGGTGCTTCTCTCTCTTTCTCTGCCTTTTTAAAATCTGTTTTTCTTCTCTGGTCCCTTGTATTAATTGCCTAGGGTTGAAATAGCAGTGTACCCCAAATTGGATGGATAAAACAATAGAAATGTATTGTCTTACAGTTTGGGAGGTCAAGTCCAAAATCAGGCTTTAAACAAGGCCAGGCTCTCTCTGCTGGCTGCAGCGGAATCCTTCCTTGTCTCTTCTAGCTTCTAGAGTTTATCAACAGTCCTTGACTTAAGAGACATTCGTTACTCCAGTCACATTGCTGCCTTCTCCCTGTGTCTTCACATCATCTTCCCTCTGGGAGTGTCTACCTCTGTCCAACTTTCCCCTTTTTCTAAGCACACTGGTCATAATGGATTAGGGCCCACCCTAATGACCCCATTTTAGCTTTAACTTATCTCTCTAAAGACCCAATTTCCAAATGATAGGACTTCAACATACAACATATTTGGGTTATGGGAAGGGCATATAATTCAACCTATAAACACTTCTCAATTCAATCCATAGTTTAAAGTTCCATCCAGGAATTTCCCATTTTTTATCTTTTTCCCCCAAATTTATTCAAAGCTCTTTCACTTGAATCAGTGTTTCATGCAAGAGTTTGTGTTCTCCACGATGCAAAGTAGTTCTTATCCGCCCTCAGATAGACCCACATATACCATTAGTTTTCATTTACCAAGTGAGAGGTGTGTATTATGAGAAGATCCTCGTTTCCCTCTGCCAGAGTGGAGAGGGTGAAGAAAAGCCGGAAGCACACTGTGCATGGCCTCAAACCACCCCAGGGCAGACCCTGGTCCCCACCCCCTCAACTGCAGTTGTCCCTCGGCGGCCATGGGCACCAGGCTACCTTCTGCAGCAGCTTGGGGGATGAAATGCAACATGATGATAAAGTGAGGAACACAAGAAAGGGCCATGTAAGATAGTTTTTGTTGGGCATCAGGGCAGCCTGTTGGTACTCCTTTGGTAATTTTTGATGCCATAAAACTGTTTAGGATCCCCATGGCACAGAGGTCCTTCATATCAAGCAGCTTTCCTAAACCAAGGATGAATTCCAGATCCTGAGACACTGGAGCTTCAATCTCCCCGCCCCACCTTTTCTTTTAGTGGTTAAGGTTTTTCTTTATTGAGGTCTAATTTACATGAAATAGGATGCTGTGCTCTTGAGAGTACAGTTTGATGAATTTTGACCATATAGAATATTTCTGTTACCCCAGAAAGTTCTCTCAGGTCCCTTCCCAGCTAGCTCTCTGCCTTCACCTCCAAAGTAACCACTGTTCTGACTTCTTTTTTTTCCTTAAGTGTATTTTATGGATTATGCTATTACAGTTTTCCCATTTTTTCTCCCCTTCATTCCCCTCTGCCCTACATCCCCCCACCCTCCAGCATTCCCCCCTACCCTTAGTTCAACTCCCTGGGTCATACATATAAGTTCTTTGTCTTCTCCTTTTCCCATACTATTCTTAACCTTCCTGTCTATTTTATACCTACCATTTATGTTTCTTATTCCCTGTACCTTTACCTCCCATTTACCCCCCTCCCACTCCTTGCTGATAACCCTCCACGTGATCTCCATTTCTGTGATTCTGTTCCTGTTCTAGTTGTTTGCTTCATTTGTTTTTGTTTTTGTTTTAGGTTCAGTTGTTGATAGTTGTGAGTTTGTTGTCATTTTTCTGTTCATAGTTTTGGTCTTCTTTTTTTTCTTAGATAAGTCCCTTTAACTTTTCATAAAATAAGGGCTTGGTGATGATGAACTCCTTTAACTTGACCTTATCTGGGAAGCACTTATCTGCCCTTCCATTCTAAATGATAACTTTGCTGGATAGAGTAATCTTGGATATAGGTCCTTGCCTTTCATGACTTTGAGTACTTCTTTCCAGCCCCTTCTTGCCTGTATAGTTTCCTTTGAAAAATCAGCTGACAGTCTTATGGGAACTCTTTTGTAGGTAACTGTCTCCTTTTCTCTTGCTGCTTTTAAGATTCTCTCCTTATCTTTAATCTTGGGTAAGGTAATTATAATGTGCCTTGGTGTGTGCTTCCTTGGGACTCTCTGAGCTTTCTGGACTTCCTAGAAGTCTATTTCCTTTGCCAGATTGAAGAAGTTCTTCATTATTTTTTCAAATAAGTTTTCAGTTTCTTGCTCTTCCTTCTGTCTTTCTGGCACCCCTATGATTCGGATGTTGGAACATTTAGAGTTGTCCCAGAGGTTCCTAAGCCTCTCCTCACTTTTTTAAATTCTTGTGTCTTCATTCTGTTCTGGTTGAATGTTTATTTCTTCCTTCTGGTTCACACTGTTGATCTGAGTCTCAGCTTCCTTCCAATCACTGTTAATTTCCTATATGTTTTTTTTTTATTTCACTTTGCATAGCTTCCATTTTTTCCTCTATTTTGTGACCATACTCAACTATTTCTGTAAGCATCCTGATTACCAGTGTTTTGAATTCTGCATTTGATAGGTAGGCTATCTCTTCACTGCTTATTTGTATTTTTTCTGGAACTTTGATCTGTTCTTGCATTTGGGCTATTTTTTTTGTCTTGGTGTGCCTGTTATGTAGTAAGGGGTGGAGCCTTAGGTATTCTCCAGGATAGGGCAACCCACAGCGCTGTGTTGTGGCACTGTCTGTGGGAGAGGGGTTCAAGAGGGAACAATGCCACTTGCTCAGCTCTTGGCTGGCTTTCAGTCACTTCCTTTGCTACCCACAAGCAAATTGCCTTTCTGGTGCTGATTTCTGGGTGGGTGGGTTTGTGTACATTTTAGCACCTGTGGGTCTCTCGAATGAACTCTCCTTTGAACTGGGAGTTTCTCCTCCTGCCACTGTAACCCCCACAGGTCTTTACAGCCAGTGCTTTGGAGGCTTTATTTCCTTGTGCTGGATCCCTGGGTTGCGTGGTCTCTCTCATTCCCCAGTTGTTCTTTCTGTTTTATATGCCCACATATGTGGGACCGCCCAATCTGCCAGCCACCATCTCACCCACCCAGTCCTCCAGCCACCACCTTGGCACGAGACCTCTCCGCCCTGGTTGCTTGTGTCCGCCCCTCCTACCAGTCTGGATGAATGTTTCTTCTTTAACTCCTTGGTTGTTGGATTTCCATACAGTCCATACAGTTTTTCTGGCTGTTTTATTTATTTTTAAATTTGTTGTTGTCTTTCTTTTGGTTGTGTGAGGAGGCAAAGTGTATCTACCTATACCTCTATGTTGTCTGGAAGTCCCCTGTTCTGACTTCTGTCACCATAGATCAGTGTTGTTTTAAGAAAGAATTTTATATAAATGAAATACTACAACAGGGACATTTGTGTGTTTGGTTTCTTTTTAATTTTTGTCTTGTTTATTTATTTATTTATTTGTTTGTTTGTTTGATTGGCTTCTTTCCCTCAATATAAAGTTTTTGAGATTCATCCATATTTTTACATGATTCAGTAGTTTGGGGTTTTTTTTTTCTTTTTGATTGCTGAGTATTTCTTTGTATGGATGGTCCACAGATTGTTTATCCTTCTGTTGATGTCAGTTTGGGCTATTCTATGTAAAATTGCCATGGATATTTATATACAAATGTTTTTGTGAACTCATTCTTTTATTTCTGTGTGCGGTATACCTGGGAGTGGGATTACTGGGTCACAGTTTGGATATATGTTTATTACATTATTGAATTCTCGGCTGTCTGTTAATAATGGCTCTCTTAAAAGAGGGGATCAGTCCATTGTGAAGGCTTCTGGTCTTTTGTTAGCAGGTTTTTTCAAAGCTTGTTATTTAGCTATAGAACTATATAACTTCATCGTAGAAAAAAAATAACACTGTGGGCTCTTGTTCTCCCTGTAAATTTGTGGATGTTCTATCTCCATAGCTTCCTGCTGCTGCTGAACTTGCACTTCTCATCAAGGTCTTTTCTTCAGGACTTTTCCACTGAGGTTCTCTTAACATGCAGGGCCACTTGTGTCCTTGAGGACTCCGACTAGCAGACTCTTCATGCTGATTTAAAAAGCTAGAAGATTTGCTTGCTGCCCAGATAAGCTTTTAGTTGTTAAGCAAGAGACCTGTATACTTATTCATACTTGTCCTTTTGCTTTTAGCTGTTTATTTTAGTCAGTGGCATGGAATGCTAGGAGTCCTTCCAGATAATTAAGACCATAGGCTTGAGCATGCTGTTGCCCATTGACAATACCAGCAGGGCTCATGACCCTGTTTTGACCACCCAGCCAAACCAAGGATGGATGTGGGCCTCCCATTTGTGCTGTGGTATCTCAGTGGGTTGTTTCCTTACAGGTCCTGTTCTGCTGCGTTCCTATTGTCTCTATGTCCTCCTGCTTGCCGTCAATGGAGTAACGGAGTGTTTCACATTTGCTGCCATGAGCAAAGAGCAGGTCGACAGGTAGGTAACCTTAAAGACACATCTTTAATCATGGCCTTTGTAGCCAGAGTGAAGTAACTCACCAGTCTTCTTTCTTTTCATACTGGACATGCATTCATAGAAGGCTTTTAGAAGTAGCACCCAGCCCATGAGCACAGTGCCTTCCCCAGGCTCTGCACTGCACATGCACCATTTGTGGTGGAAGAAATCTGGGCCCTGAAGGGTTATGTTACTCCAGGTTTGCAGAGACAGGCACAAGGCAAGCTCCACTCCTCCACCTCCTTGCCCAATGCTCCAGTGGGTTATCAAGGAGCATCTCCAAAAGGAGTCCTGCCCCTGAGAATGTGATTCATAGATCTTTGAGAATCTCAGGGATCTGTGACATTTCTCCTCAGAGAAAAGCTCAAGTACACATCCATGTTTTACCATAATTTTTTCCCATCCATTGACACCAGATCAGGACCTCTGCCCTGGAACTTTAAGTAGTGGTTCTTAACCCTGGTTGGGAGTCAAAATCCTTCACAGGGCTTGTTAGAAATGCAGATTCCTGTCCACCTACTTCCACCACTCTCTCTCCCACCACACCTACAGAATCACAGGCCCCTAACCACATGTGTACGTTTTTAAAAGCTCCTCAGTGATTCTGACACAAACGGCTGATTAAGAACTTCACACACAAGATCATTCATTTCTTGTGTCCAAATATGAAAAGTGGCAAGGCAGTATCTTAAGACAGCACTACAGGATGAGGTTGAGAAGACGGATCAAAGTGATAGGGGCAAGAAGAGAGAGTAGAAGGGGTGGTTATAGGTAGTAGGATGTGTGGCCCTCATTATCCCTCTGCCGCCTGGGGCCTGGGTCCCTCGGGGTGTTCGTGCTGCCTGTATACTGCCCTGAGTGCCGTAGAAAGTCCTCAGAGGCCCAGAGGTGGGGGTGGGGTGGGAAAGGGTAGTTCAAAGAGTTGGGGAACACTTCCTCTCATTCACAGCAGCCTCTCCTCTTCCCATGTTGAACTGTCTCATGGAGAAGCTGGGTGACTGTTTGCTACACTGTGGCTTAGGACTAGAGTCCAGAAGAGCAGTCCCTGACCAGGCTGTTCAGATTCCTGTAGGAAGTTCTAGCCCCTTCCTAGACCAATGGAACTAGAATTGTAGGGGTTTGGCCCAAGGAATCTTTCATTACACATCTTCAGGAGATTTCCGGTGATAGCTGGGGCCTGAGGAACTGCTGGTCCAAACCGGCTTTCACACTAAAAACTACACTGATCGCTGTGATCCAACATATATTTTTAGGCGGATATGACCGAAACTTTCTGCTTTCACAAAGTGGTAGGTATACCAAGTATGTGCAGGACACACTGGCAGTTTTTTTAATCCTGTTGTTTCATTTTTAAACTGCCATATCATGAGCCACTAAGTTGATTTTCCAGCCTGCTTCTAGGTCACAACACATAGTTTCCAAGTAGTGGTCTAAAAATGATGTTTACTTCAGGTAGTTAAATTTATAGCCATTAAACAGCTTTGAATCCATCCTTCCCCTCTTTTTTTCTTCATGGATAGAAAAGTCTATTTAAGTTTAATTTTGAAGCCCTGGCTGGCATAGCTCAGTGGATTGAGTGTGGGCTGGGAACCAAAGTGTCCCAGGTTCGATTCTCAGCCAAGGTACATGCCTGGGTTGCAGGCAGGCCATAACCCCCAGCAACCGCACATTGATGTTTCTCTCTCTCTCTCTCTCTCCCTCTCCCTCCCTTCCCTCTCTAAAAATAAGTAAATAAAATCTTTAAAAAAAAGGGGGGAAGGCCAAAAATTAAAAAAAAAATTTAATTTTGAAAATACTATATTTTTATTTGAAAGGTACTCCTAATATGAAATAATTTTTAAAGATTTTATGTATTTACTTTTAGAAAGAAGGGAGGGGAGGGAGAAAGAGAGGGAAAGAAACATTAATGTCCAAGAAATATATCTATCAGTTCCCCCTTGCATGCCCTGACTTGGGATCTGGCCTGCAACCCAGGCATGTGTCCTGACTAGGAACCGAACCAGTGACCTTTCAGTTCGCAAGCTGGTGCTCAGTCCACTGAACCACACCAGCCAGGGCTGAAATAATTTTTAAATATAATTTAAAACATACTAAAAGAGGCACTGAGGCATAGTGGAAAGAGCTCTGTACTAGGAATCTATCTCTTGGAAGGGACTTTTGCTACAGTAGTTTTAGCATTAGTGCTGAGGGGAAGAATCAACATTGTTTCTGCTTAAAATGTTAAACAAAAATCTACAACCAAATCATGAGGAAATATGGTCAGTGGCTGGTTGCTGTTTTTCCTCTTATGATTCATTGAACCAATGAAACAACTCTTAAGTTAGTTATAATGAGATTTTAACAGTATATAAATATCTGGAAAATTATTTTTATGCTATTAGTAGTCAATGTAGAAAAAGAGGGCAGAGTGCCTTCTAATGCAGTTCTCATCTGAAGTGGCTCACTTTCCTTAAGAGTAAAATGTGGCTTTAGACATAGTCTTCAGATTTGTACTAAACACAGTGGGCCCTGGCCCTGGTCTGAACACATGGAGCACCTGGGCTCATCGCAGACCCCTGGCATTTTTTTCATCTCTGGGAATTTAACCAGACATAGAGCTCTAGTAAAGATTTTTGTAGTACAATAGAATTGGGCAGCTTAATTAAATGTTATGAGTGGTTTATACTGGACGTTTTAGATTCTGAATTGAAGAAAATATTGATAAAATTATGGGCCTTTGAAGATTTATTTATTTTTAGAGAGAATGGAAGGAAGGAGAGAGACGAAGAGGGAGAGAAGCATTGATTGGTTGCCTCCCGCACACCCCAAACTAGGAACCTGGACTGCAACCCAGGCATGTGCCCTGACCAGGAATTGAACCAGCAACCTTTCAGTTTGAAAGTTAGCACTCAATCTACTGAGCCACACTAGCCAGGGCCAAAACATGGGCTTTTACTTAACCAACTTTAGATTGATCAATGCTTTTATAAAGAAAAACAAGGCATTTTGTTCGATGTTAAATATTAGAACATCCTTTGAATTGTAAGTTGCTTTTTTGTTAATAACCTCATAATACATAGAATATGATTTATGAATTTTTCATTATGCCCTATTGAAGAATTTTTGTTCTGTTTTGTTAATGATATTTCATTTTCCTTTGTTCATTTGACACATGCTTTTTGAGCATCTCCTCTCTAACAAATATTGTGTTAAGCTCCAGGAATACAGCAATGAACAAGACAGATAAGATCCCCATCCTTCTGGAGCAGACAGTGGGAGAGGCGGATAGTGAATAAGTAAAAACTAAGAGAAGATTGTTCTGTACAGAGAACTAAAACAGGGTTATATAGTGAGAATGGGGACCTTTCTAGATTGGGAGGACCATGCAGGGAGGTGGCATTTAAGCCAAGACCTGGATAAACAAGAAGAGTCTGCCATGCAAGGAGGCACAGAGCCATCCAGGCAGAGGGGACAGTGATGCAAAGGCCCAAGACTGACAGCTCCTTTGTCTGATTTGTTGGCCCCGAGTGCCCAACATGGAGTGGGACTCCACAGCTGTGGAATGGAGGATGTGTGCAGTCTTCTCACTGTGGCACATAGACTGGCACCATCTTTTTCACGGCTGCAGAGGCTGCATTGCACACTGGCTACACTGTATGGCTGTGCCTTGATTTACTCAGCCAGCACCCGCTGGGGGATGCTTTGGTTGCCACTGTAGTCAATGTCCTTGACCTTCTGTCTTTTGATAAGCATGATTTTAAGCTCAGTGTCTTAGGGCCATGGAAAAATAAGCATTCGTAAATAATTTACTGTTTATAAATTAGAATAGTCATTATTGTCATTAGTTTGGCATTGATTTAAAAAGTGATATTTTAATTGCATCTTTAAAATTTTCATTTTTTCCTGGATTATACCTTTAAGACTATATATATATTTGTTAGTTCTAGAAAGTTAAACAGGTGCAGAATCCTATTCTGGTGAAAAACAGTGGATCCTATCATTATCAGCTCCTCCCACACCAAAGCATATGCACTGTTGAGTTCATCCCTGCTTGAATTAGTGATGAGTTCATTCATTGTGGCCATTTTACTTGCAGTTGGGTGAGGATGACTTTGAAAGTTTGTGAACCTATGGCTCAAACTCTAAGGATTGGTGGTATCATAGATCTTTCTGATACAGTTTTTTTTTTTGGGGGGGGAACCAACAAGATTATACATTTCTGCTTCTTTTTGTAAAAGAGTTCAGAGTACTGGTCTATAATGGGTCCCACCTCAATGATTTGTTATGAAGTCGGCCACTCTGATCACTGACTAGTAATGGAGAAACTTCCCCTGTGAAGGTACTTTCATTGCTCATTAAAAGAAACTCTTTCTCAACTAAGAAACAAATTCCTCTCTGGACTTCTGGATGAAAGCACACACCTCCCCTGTTGGAGTATAGTTGTGTGTGTGTGTGTGTGTATGTATGTCAGGAAATATTCTTACCAACCATTCTGATAAAGTATATCTGCATAGCACCTTGGGCTTAGTCTGCCTGAGGACCAGTACCTGAGTATCCAGTTGACACAGTGGCTTTCTTACCACCCCTCATGTGCAGAGCCTGACCAGTGGCTCTAAGGTTTCCTAACCAGCAGACACAGCTTGAGGGCACCTGAGGGGTTTGGTTCCCTAAACTGTACACTGAGAATGCTTGCTGTGCACTAGGTGGAAACCAGATGCTGTACCATGATCTTTTTGGAGGATTATAGCGGCTCTTTTACCTTTGCTGAGACTCAGTTTCCTTTGCTGAGAACGGAAAATAACTAAGTGACATGCTGCTTTGAAATAAGAGAAACAAAAGGAGCATGCAGTCCATCCAGTCATGGACTCCAAAGAGCTCTAGAGATGTAGAGAGAGAAGAAAGGATGTGTAAGAGTCTGGGGAACCTTGAATATAATCCAGGCTTCACTCCCTGTTTACATTTCTCTTTGGAGGCTGGTTATTTGCTTTGAGTGATGTCCACTGGCCAAGGTTACAGAGCTTCTGCATCTCCTAAAGGAAACGGTGTGCAGTGCTAAAGTTTAGGGGCCAGGGGTCAGGTTGGAGTGTTGGCTTACTCCCCAGGCAGATTACTCAGACTGTGTGCCTGGTGTCCTTGACTGCAAAATGAACCTAAACTCCAAGGGGCAAGGCCCATGTGTGTTCATTCACAGCACCCCTCACAGCGCCCGCCAGAGTTAGCATTTGTATGTAATTGTTACCCGTGTCATATTCTTGTGCCTCACATTCAAGACTTGGGCTAAATAGGATTCTTACTTTTTTTTTTTTATCACAAAGTACACTTAAGCTAACCATATCTTGAATTGCTCATTTTCTTACCCTTCCATTTAGGGGTGAGGAGGACAATGACATTTCCTTGTTATCTATATAGCATTTAATGTTATGAAAACCAGCTGGATTATGGGAACTCAGGTGTTTTCTATGATTTCGTGATTGTGGCCACTTTTTTTTGCAGGAGTTCTGTCTTAGGACAAGTTGTCCACTGCCTTGCTTTGCTTGCTCTCCTCTCCCCAGGTACAATCTCACAATGCTGGCCCTGTCATTTTCGTTCCTGGTGTTGTCCTATCTCCTGACCCATTGGTGTGGCAGCGTGGGCTTCATCTTGGCCAACTGCTTTAACATGGGCATTCGGATCACACAGAGCCTTTGCTTCATCCACCGCTACTACCATGAGAGCCCCCACAGGCCCCTGGCCGGCCTGCAGCTGTCGCCTGTCCTCCTGGGAGCATTTGCCCTCAGTGGTGGAATTACTGGTATTTCAGAGGTGAGAGTCCCCGCAGCCTTCACACTACATGCTTTGGTAACCTGTCCACTGTTCCTCACTTTAGGCTGCCCCTTCCGCTCTGCCTGAAGCAGCTGGACAAGTATCTGGCACCTCTTATCCCTTCCCCTAAGCCTCTAGGACATCATCTTGTGATAGCTGTTACCAAACCCTGTCACCACTGGGGACAGATTAGACCCTCAGTACATAGTTGTCATACCTTTTATCTAACTCAAAGGTGCCTCCCCTTTTCCTGGCTTGCCCCAGAGGGAGGAGGTACAGAAGGCAGGGCCAAGGCAGTGACAGTGGTTTCTTTCCGCAGGTGTTCCTCTGCTGTGAGCAGGGCTGGCTGGCCAGGCTGGTGCACGTGGCTGTGGGGGCCTTCTGTTTGGGAGCAACTCTCGGGACAGTGTTCCTCACGGAGACCAAGCTAATCCACTTTCTTAGGACTCAGTTAGGTGTGTCCAAACTTACTGGCAAAATGACGTGACCTGAGGGATTCACTGACGCCTGTACACCTGGACTAGCCATGGGCAGAACACATTTCCTGGGCAGAAGAGCCCTGCAGAGGAGTGAGACCAACCCCGGCAGGTGCGACGTGGGAGAGAAACACTGGGCCAGACATTGCTGTCCATTTACATCTCTGTCAGGAAGGGAGACTTCCATTTTTAGGGGAAGACCAAAGGCTCTTTTAAAATAGATAGTTATTTTTTTCACCATTTTGGTCTAATCGGTGTTTTCCCTTTTGATTAATATAGTAATTCCTTTGGGTGTGATTGACCTTAGGAGCTACATACTCCAACAAACTACCTCAGATGTTAATAGTTAATCATGTGGTGAAAAAAAAAAAAGAGATGCAGCCATCTTCCCCTTCAGAGGGATATTTGACTGACACTGTGAAAGGAAGAGGGAAAGCTGATGTTAGGCACCAAATAAGAATGAGGGTGCTCCTGGAGTTGTGGCTTTTCCCATGGCAGCCCTGTGGTCTGGGTTTTTAGAGAAAGAAAAATGTTACTCAATAGAAATCCAAGAAATGAAAACATGGTCTTTCAGATCACGTTTCCCCAAGTCAATGAGGTGGAGTCACATGTCATCTTCTCTGCTGTGTCCCCTGGGCTGGCACATGCCTTCCCAGAGCAGGCGCAGGCTGGCTCAAGACCCCTGGCTCGACCACCTGAAAGAGGGAGTTTGGAGGGAAACTGTGATCCGTGTGAGCTACCTTTTCCGCTCAAGGAAATGTTACTTTGCAGCGGGCTGAGACTTCCCATGTGGACATGGCACAGATGCCAGCTAAAGTTGAATAGATGCATCTTTTTTTCCTCAAAATAAAATAAATTCTAATATGTGTGTGGCAAGTATCACAAGGCCCTCCCACTGACCCATTATTCCAGCACTGGTCAGTACACCTGAATTCCAGCCCTAGGACAAGAGCGGCAGGCTGTGGGTCTGGTTCTCAAGGACACAATGGGAGTCCAGGCTTAAAGCTCACCTCTCTGCACCCTGTAACCCAACAGGTGAGATCGCCAAGCTTTGTTCTCAGGCAGCAAAACATTTTTCTTTCATTAATGCAGTAATTTTTTTTTTTTGCATGTGATTGGCCTTTGGAATCTGTGTCTCTTGGGGAGGGTTCTGGGATCAGCTTTTTTGGCAAACTGAGGTTGGCACACGCATGTCCTCATCAGCCATGCACCTATGCACGGTGTCTGTTCTCTGTCCCAGGAAGAGAGCTGCTGTTGCTTGGGCAGCATCGCCGACTTGCTCCTCAGTCAGCCGCAGAACCAGTAAGGTTTCTGCTCTGCCCTCCAGTGTGGCAGCGTGTGCTTGCTCTCTCATCGCTCGTCCCATGCAGTCTGCCTTCACCCAGAAAGGATTTTTGGAGGGAATCACATTTTGGCCTGTGAGTGCCACTTAAGATATAGTGAGGTTACTTCTCCATGGAAACAAATCACTAAAGCATATCCTTTTATGAAATGAAGAAGTCTTTGGTGGTGAAAATAACAGTATTTTTTTCTGTGCTGTTTTTGCCACACAGATCTGCCTGTCAGACCCCTCCGGAAGGGGATGCTATGCTGCTGAGCCGCTCTGCACTTACTCAGTGGGGAGGGCTCGAGGAGCTGTGTCTCTGCCCCACTCCCGGCCACTTCCCGGCCTCGCTCCAGCAGAACACTTTCTCCTGCCTTTTTTCTTGCCTCGTGCAGTCATGTTGCCAAATACATGCCAATATCCTGATTTTAAAATCAGTAAATTATTTTCTTATATCTTCAGCTCTTTCATACCCCCCGTCTTTCCAAAAAGGAAAGCATTTTTTCTTAAGTTTCAAAAGGAAGGTAGGCGAGTAGCTCTGAGTATGTGAGCCATTTCTACTTCCCGCCAGAGCACTTGTCCTGCACTGACTGTTGTGACTGGACGGTGGTTCCTGACAGAGGGTGGTGTCCTGGCCCCTGTGACAGACGCCATGTCTGGGACTGAAAGGCCTGGCCGTGCATTCACTGCTCTCCCCTTCCCACGGGAAGCAGAGTTTCCCGTTGTTTGTTGCCCTTTTCTCTCCTGTCTGCTCCATCTGCTGGTCCCTGTCTTGGTCATGCTGTTAAATGGAGCATCCGTTCTTCCGTGGCTCAGGACTGACCCTGCCTTATAAAAGCACGGCCACGTATGTCATTGTAGGCATTGTGACCTTTAAGGAACCCAGGGTATCCCCATGCCCATATATCTTTCTTAACCAGTGTTTGAATTTTCTTTCCTGAGATCAAAGGCTGTTATTCCATAATTAGAGGGGAGACTAGAAATTCCATTCCCCTAGGGAAGGACTCAGTGACTCTTTCACACTGAGATGTGAAATAACCCCTTCAGGGACTCCTTCCTAAGCAGCTTTGGATGTTGAGGAAAGAGGAGCTGAGAGCATCCAGGACCTGGAGAAGGGGCTCAAGTAAGATTCCTCACAGGCCCCAGAAGGTAGGAGCTCAGAGTGCCTCTGTGAGGCCTCTGGGATGCACAGAATTCAGTTACAGGGGGAGCCAGGGAGGACATGGTCCCTGGGATAGTCTCTGATGAGACACGGCTGAAAATGGGGCAGGCCTGGGTGGGGACAAGAGAAGGGAAAGAAGCTGGGGAACCCTTTCCCATACCTACACACCCCTGCTCCTAGGGGAGGGCAGGCCAGATGCAGAGGGGTGCGCCTTTGGCACTGATGGCAGAGGGAGAAGAACTCACTGGGAGCTCAGTGCAGAGAACTCTTGGGAGCCGAGCCATGGGCTCAGGATGCTCCCTGCTCGAGGTTCTCTGTGGCTCAGAGGGTTGTGGAAGGCTGGAGGCCTAGGAGCCCATCAGAAAAGACCAGATTTATAAAGAAAATAAGCTGAAGCATAATTGCCAGGCTTCCCTAGAAATGCCTTGAAGACATTAAACACAGAGAACTGGGAAGAACAACCAAACAAGAATTCTGCTCTGAAACATCACTTTATTTCTTACTATTCCATGAGTCTCCAGGAAGGAACTGAGACTTCTGAGCCAATCAGACGCAAATGAAAAACGATTTGTTTCACTATTACTAACTGTACCTGGGAGAATTAGTCCTTAATGCTGTAAATATTTCATTTGCTAATTAACTTTTAAGAGTAGCAGAAAAGATGTTTTATTTGAAGAACTTGGGAAGGAAGACTCATTGATTTGAATCATCAATCTGACCCCAATTACTGTAGTATAATGTCTCATTATTTAGTGTCATTCATTTTTAACTAGAACTGCTAGGTATGTCAAACTGAAATGGAAAAATGGGCTTCTTAATGTGGTTCAGCCTCCTTTAGGGACCTAGTGAAGGAAGTCTTATAAAACTTCTTTGTTATCCTCCAGAAGAGTTAGCAGAAGTTGCTGGGTGCCCCAGCCCAAAGTGCAGCCGATTTTTCACCTGTAATCTCTCCATCCTTCCTGGGCAGTGTGGCTTAAATCGGAAGTGGTAGAGGTGAGGTGGAAGGGGTTGGGTCTTTCCCTTCATAAAACAGGTCCTCGGCAGAGTAAGTGTGCCCAGAGCTCCGTCCAGCCTCCACAGGCTCCTGCACCTCACTCCTGGAGCCACCCGCTATGTTGAGCCTATTACAGTACACCGTGTTACACATTGACATAGTGGGTGTTTAAATGCACAAGAGTTGTGGTTGGCTCGTTGGCACAATGTTATGTTCTGCAGACATTTAAACATCGGTTTTGAAGCTTTGTGTGTATTTTGCAGCCAGTAAATTTTATTTCCATCTCAGTCATTTCTGTAGGTTCCTGAAGAGTTGCAGGGCTCTGGATGCTGTACCTGTGAGGCTGAATGAACAAAGGGCCCTGGGAGCTTGGAAAAGGGGGTGGGGCAGTGAGAAGAAGAGTTCTCGGAACCCAGTGCTGCTCTCAGCGCAGAGGCCCAGCCTCTTCTGTTGATGAGATGTTCTTTCTTCGCCACCTTTTATATTTAGCCCCCAGTCTCTCCTCTCAGCTTTAAGCTCTGTTCCGAGTGGGAGGCCCCTAAAGGAAAACTGACCCTGGTCATCTTTACAGAGCAGCGACAGTGGGTCACAGGTCATAAGTGAGCCAGGGGATGGTCTGCCTGTGAGTTGGGCAAGCCTACTGGTTCAGCCAGCTCTCTCTGGGTAGGGTCTGGGCAGGGTACCCGGTGCATCCAGAATGGGCCCTTCAGCCTTAGCTGAGCTGCAGGAGGGCCCATAAGATAACTGCTGGCTTGTGAAAGAATCTTTGAGACCACCATTTATATGCACCCTTTCCTCTCTCCCTCCAATAATTGTGTCCCAAAGTTATGGCCCTGTTGACTCTGCTGCCACAGTGTTGCCCTGGCCTGACACATGCAGTCGGCAGAAGCCACCTCAGTTCACAGTGCTCATGGAAAGGGACCCCCAAAGTGGCAAGTCTTTGTCCTTTAGTCTCATCTGTACCACCCTGTCACCAGTTGAGTTGTTGGAATGGGGCCCAGTGAGTAAGCAGTGACTAATTAAGACACAACTGCATTAGTCACATTGGAGGTGACAACTGTGCAGCATGTTTCTGGTTCGTTTCTGGGAGATCCTGACAGTTTTCAATTATGTGGAACTAATGGTGTGTGGCTCCCATGCAGCCACCTCGAGTGAGAGAGAAGGGGGACTTCGGAAATGAAGGCAGAGTCGCTGTGGGCAGCCTTGATTTTGTTCCCAGCTCACCTGCTCCTCACTCTGCTGAATTGCCAAGGATGATGTTATGCCAGGGCCAATGGCATAAGGGGGTCCCAGAGGCCCTCTGTTAGCAGGCCTTCCAGTTTGCACCACTGTGCCCAGGGAGAGGATGAGAAGTCTGAGAGGGAGCTGGGTGACAGAGGATCCTCAGTCTTTTCAGTGGGTGCGTGTGGAAAACCCCAGTGCTGATTAAGTCTAGCCTTGGAGCGCAGTCCCATCAGGCCTGCAGGGGAACCAGAGAGAACAGGAGAGTCACAACAGGGAAGCCATGAGGACAACCGTGTTTCCCTCCACAGGTGATCCCAACCAAGCTAGAGAATGTTGATAAAACAGCTTTCCCTTTTGTTCCCCCTGGGACAGTAACACATGTGGCTTGTGAGATCCCTAAGTGGCATCTCTCCAATGACAAGACAGTGTTCTTGCAGGTGTGCAGATGTTGGACTGTGGGGGGCAGTGGAAGGGACAGAGGTACTTGCACTTTTTCTTTTGTAACTGTGAGTAAAATCCTGTGGAGCCCAGGCTCCCCAGTGGGGCTGATGGCATGACTCCCAGGCACAGTGGCGACTCGTGCTCCCTTTCTCGGCACGCTTGCAGTAAACCTGTGAACACAGAGCCGAGAGCCAGGCTCTGGGTGGAAGGACCCCAGAGGTGCCCTGCTTGTGGCGTCCCTTTCATCTGCACCGTCTCTGGGAAATCCACCCGCGCCCCAGCCCCCATCTGCCTTCTGAAGCACGTGAGCGGGGCTTCGTTTTCTAAACGGGCAGTGGTGCTGCGCACATGCCATTGGTTATGCCCCAGCCTGGCTGCCCCTCTCTGACTCGCTGGGTGACCTGGAGCAAGTCCCCCTCACTGCACCAGTCGTGGAGCACCAAGCACGTGCCAGGTACTGTGTAATGACACACTCGGCACATGTTAGTTGTTAAGTCTTCACAGCAGTCGCTTCTACTGTCTACATGTTGCAGGTGAGGAAACTGAGGCATGGAGAAATGGCTTGATTTGCTCTAGGCCACCCAGCTAGGAAGAAGGTGGTCTAATGAGTCGCCCCTAGGTCAGCCTGATTCCTGACCCCCACCCCCTACTCTGATTCAAAAGGAGGCTGGACTCAGGCATTAACGCTGTGCGCCAGAGAGGGTGGCGGCCCTGCCCCC